TGACTGAGGAACGATTTCTTTTTCCACCTCCAGCGTTCTACATGGAAGAGAATGATGCTCGCATGCCAGAAAGAACATAACAGACACACTAGCAATAGTAACGAAAGCAGCTCTACAGTGCCTCCCTCATGCCAGGCACTGTGGTAAACACCTCACGTATATTACATCCTTTAATTATCACACCTACCCCATGATGTAGGTGCAGTTATTAACCTTCTTACACGGATAAAAAAAAAAAAGCTGAGGCAAAACCTAGACATAGAGACCGTTCATCTGTGCATAGTGGAGATAAGGCTTGAATTCACTAGGTCAGCACTGGGGCACAACAGGCTAAGCCGCCGCTCTCGATGCTGGCGTCCCCGTATCAGATCCGCAGTCTAGCGCCCGGCTGCTCCGCATATGCAGTTTCCTGCATATGCACCTGGGAAGGCAGTGGTGCATGGTCCAAGTGCTTGGGCCCCTCTGCTCATGTGGGAGACCAGCTCCTGGTTTGGGTCTGGGCCAGCTCTCTCCGTCTCTCTGAAACTCCATCTTCCAAATAAAAGGATCTTTAAAAAGAACCAAACAAAAGGCCAGCGCAGTGGCTCACCAGGCTAATCTTCCTCTGGTCCCGGTTGGGGCGCTGGTTCTGTCCCAGTTGCCCTTCTTCCAGTCCAGCTCTCTGCTGTGGCCCAGGAGGGCAGTGGAGGATGGCCCAAGTCCACTTGGGCCCTGCACCCGCATAGGGAAACCAGGAGGAAGCACCTGGCTCCTGGCTTCGCATCAGCACAGCACCGGCCATAGAGGCCATTTGGGGGGTGAACCAACGGAAGGAAGACCTTTCTCTCTGTCTCTCTCTCTCTCTCTCTCACTGTCTAACACTATCTGACAAATAAAAAAAAAAAAGACCCAAACAAAAAGATTTGAATTCCCTGCACTACACTACCTAGGAACATGAGGGCACGTTCATTCTGTTTTCTTTTAAATGATTTGAAATTTTGAATTTGCATTAACATCCGTAAACATCTGGAGGTGATCTTTTGAGAGGTGTGAGGCAAAGCCCTGATTTTGTTGAAGTGTGTCCCAAAGGTTAGCCTGCCAGGACCTGGGTCCCCAGTGTGTCAGGGCTGGGAGGGGGTAACATATTTAGGAGGGGACCTAGGGCCAGGTAATTAGGTCACTGGGGTACCGCCTTCAGAAAAGATTCAAGTAGTTCTTGAGGGACCCTGGTTAGGTCCCACAAGAGTGGGTTGTCCCCACTCTTAGTGAGTCTGGCCCCCAAGCCCCCCTGACTTGCTGTGACTGTGTGCTCACTCGCAGATGTACTGCCACCACTGTCATCCGCCCCGAGGCCTTCACCAGGGGCCACCTGACTATGGGCCTTCTGTCTCCAACACTAAATAAACCTCTGTAGTTTATATTTGTAACACACTCAGCCTCAGGCATTTTGTTATAGCAACAGAAGTGGACAACTGCAGAGTTAACTTCATTTTTTCCTTCCATAGAACCAAGCGTTCAAGATCAGTTATTGAAGAGTTTCTCTTTGCTCAGCCATCTGATAACTTTCCCTATGTGTGTGGGACTGCTTCTGAGTTCGCTAGCTTACTCCTTTGGGAAATGCCAGTATCGTTTGTGTAAAACTGCACTCAATCTTTAGAATATGGTAATAAATCTTGCTGTTTGGTAGGATCTATCTAATTGTTTTTCAAAATTATCATGATATTTTGTATTTTCATATAAATGTTAGGACTTTCTCAAGATATTCTCGGGGTTTTATTCGAATCACCCTGACCCTACCGAGTAATGTGAGGACGCTATCCTTGTAATATCATCTTTTTATTGAACTTCTTGGCTCTCCATCTATTTTGGTCTTCAATAGTATCTTCTCTTAGAAAGATTTACAGTATTTCTCACATGTATCTTGCACATCTCATTTATATTACAAATGGTATATTTTACATTTATCTGTTTTTCTGATGCTAAAGATTCCCTTGAACTAGATCTCCAGTGCCAGAAAGCAATGGATCCAAACATGGGTGTTGCAAAAGAGAAAATCTGCTCCTGTCTGGAACGTGCATCGTCAGTTAAGATTAAACCCCTAGGCCGGCGCCGCGGCTCACTAGGCTAATCCTGTGCCTGCGGCGCCGGCACACCGGGTTCTAGTCCCCGTTGGGGCGCCGGATTCTGTCCCAGTTGCCCTTCTTCCAGTCCAGCTCTCTGCTGTGGCCCGGGAGTGCAGTGGAGGATGGCCCAAGTGCGTGGGCCCTGCACCCCATGGGAGACCAGGATAAGCACCCGGCTCCTTGCTTCAGATCAGCGTGATGCGCCGGCCACAGCGTGAACCAATGGCAAAGGAAGACCTTTCTCTCTGCCTCTCTCTCTCTCACTGTCCACTCTGCCTGTCAAAAAATAAATACATTAAAAAAAAAAAAAGATTAAACCCCTTTAACAAAGAGCCGCCTTCTTTGATGACTGAAATGCCCACTAAGCAACCCACCCCGGCTAGTCTATAAAAAGAGGTGACACTTCTTCCGTGAGGTGACCCAAGGTCCCAGGCCACACCATGCTCCGGGGCCTTGCTGTCACCCACAAGGAGACAATGAAGGAGACATATTATCTATCCGTCACTATTGCTTTTAATGCCTTCACTCACAAGTGACAAGCAACTTATCCTTAATCTATCAGCCAAAAATTAGGGATCAGAAGAGGCTCCCCAGACTCAGAACTCACCTCCTACCACACAGCCCCACAGTAACTTCCCTACGCTTCGCGGCACCCCAAGAGTTAAGCAAGCTCACTGCGAATGTTTGGGGCGGCACTTTTGAGTTCTGAGTTCTAGTCCCTGTTCCTCCACCAATTCACACAGAAGCTGGGAAGCAGTCAAAAAGGCTTTTCTTTCAGGATCCCTCTGCAAGTGAAGCACACCCCACGAGAGTGAAGCGATGAGATAGGTTAGCAAAATTCCTTAGAGAAAAGAGCCCAGGGGGCCGGCGCCGTGGCTCACTTGGTTTATCCTCTGCCTGCAGCACCGGCATCCATATGGGCGCCAGGTTCTAGTCCCGGTTGCCCCTCTTCCAGGCCAGCTCTCTGCTGTGGCCCGGGAGGGCAGTGGAGGATGGCCCAAGTGCTTGGGCCCTGCACCCCATGGGAGACCAGGAGAAGCACCTGGCTCCTGGCTTTGGATCGGCGCAGCACTGGCCGTAGCGGCCATTTGGAAGGTGAACCAACGGAAGGAAGACCTTTCTCTCTCTCTCTCTCTCTCTCACTAACTCTGACAAAAAAAAAAAAAAAAGAGCCCGCAGATTCAGATTCTGGCTCAGTGTCTCCCCGTTTATTCCTTTAGTGTTTCCTGGGGTTTGAAGAAATCAGCATACTAGTCCTCAGCAGAGGAAAACGATGGCTTATTTGAAAGCCAGATAGCTTGCTCTTGCTCTTGCGTGTCCTCTCTCTGCCTCCCCCACCCCACCCTTCTCCCCTCCACCCCGCAGTGTGTGGGGGTATGTGAGATACCTTGGAGATGGGAACCAAATCTAAATACAAAATCCATTTATACACCATGCACATGCTGCACATAGCCTGAAACTAATTCCACACAGTGGTTAATGCGCCTGCATTTTGACAGCAGTACATAGAATGAGGTCAGGTGTGGAATTTTTTTTTTTTTGACAGGCAGAGTGGACAGTGAGAGAGACAGAGAGAAAGGTCTTCCTTTGCCGTTGGTTCACCCTCCAATGGCCGCTGCAGCCGGTGTACTGCGCTGATCCGTAGCCAGGAGCCAGGTGCTTCTCCTGGTCTCCCATGGGGTGCAGGGCCCAAGCACTTGGGCCATCCTCCACTGCACTCCTGGGCCACAGCAGAGAGCTGGCCTGGAAGAGGGGCAACTGGGACAGAATCCGGCGCCCCTACGGGGACTAGAACCCAGTGTGCCAGCGCTGCAGGCAGAGGATTAGCCTAGTGAGCCGCGGTGCCGGCAGGTGTGGAATTTATTAACTTCACGACGGCCACCATTTGGGATTTCAGACTTAGAGATGGGGAATGCTCAACTTGTATGCGTATTTTTATGTGCATATGCATACACGTATTTATGTACTTACACAGGAAATACCTACTGACTTTCGCCAGAAACTCTCTCTCTCTTATTTTAGAATAAAAAGACCAAGGACTTATGCATAAAAATGTCCTATATGACACTGCATAGAATATCAGTAAACAAATAGTTAACAATAGACCTTTTTTTAGGATTTTATTTATTTATTTGAGAGGTAGAGTTCAGACAGAGAGGAGAGACAGAGAGAAAGGTCTTCCATCCTCTGGTTCGCTCCCCAAATGGCCTCAAGGGCCTGGGCCGAAGCCAGGAGCCAGGAGCTTCTTCTGGATCTCTCACACGGGTGCAGGGGCCCAAGCACTTGGGCCATCTTCTACTGCTTTCCCAGGCCATAGCAGGGAGCTGGATAGGAAGTGGAGCAGCCAGGACTCGAACTGGAGCCCAAATGGGATGCCAACACTGCAGGCAGAGACTTAGCCTACTATCCCACAGCGCCGGCCTCTGTAGACACTTGTATAAACTGAGAACCATGGAATTATGGAAATCCATGTCTGTGAAGCACTTATGACTATGGATGGCAGGAGATCAACGATAAAAGAAGTGAGACTGAAACATGTAAGAAGGAAAGATTGCATTAAATATACAGAGACGGTGGAAGACAATCCAATGGAACGTGGGCTCCTCCTAAGCAGTGAGGTTATCATTGCTTTTAATTATATTTTTCTCTTTTAAACGTGAAATATTTTGTAATTAGCAAATGTATGTAGGCTGCATCTTTCAGAAAAGATAAAATTCGTCAGCACAAGGGAGGGCTGGGTATATGAAAGGAGTGAAGCCCAATCCCACAGCACAGCCCAGGGCTCTCTTGCTCTGCCCTGGCTTGGCCAGTGGAGGCAGCAAGGAGCTGGGGGGCGGGGGATCCTCTCTCGCCCTCCCTCTCCACCTCCAGTCCTACAAGGAAGTCTGTGACATCCGGGCCAGACTTGGGCTATGGCTCTGGTCAGAGTGATGCCGCCCCAGGCTCTGCTGCCCGTTCTGCTGCTTTGTATGCTGCTGCTGCAGGCCCAGGGAGGGCCTCGTGAGCGGACAAGAACGGTGGAGGGTAGGTGATGACCTGCCGGGGGCATGGCGGGGGGTGCGTGAGGAGCTGTGCCCGGCCTCAGGAGGACTTGGGAGCTGGGACCTTTCTTCACACCACCTCTGCTCACAGCGCTGGGCACACGCCAGGCCATCCCGAACCATGGCCCTACAGCTGGAGGTCACAATGGGGTGGAGGTGCTATCATCCGTCTGTCTGTCTGTCTGTCTGTCTATCTATCTATCTATCCACCTGTCTATTCTAAACATCAAGAGACAAAGGATACATGTTGTGGTGAAAAGTGCAGCAGGGCTCAGAATGAGAAGGAATCCCAAGAATTATTCTTTGATCTAAACACAGCACGAGGGGTAAACATTCAAAGGTCTTGAAGAGGGTAGGAGCAGGCGTAGAGATGGGGTGGGTATAGAAAGGAAAGGCATGGGACAGGCAAACTATGGGGAATACAGGGCCAAGGTGGGACCGTGCGTGAGAGGGAGCAGGAGGGTGCTGGTGGGTACTGGAGACAGTGATAGGGAGGGGTGGGTACAAGGCTACTCCATCTGCTTCTGGATCTACAAACTCTGGGACAGTGGCCGAGGGTGTGGAAAATGTCTGGTTTACTTGAGCTCTCAGGATGAGAGAACAGGCTCTATAGAAGTGACTTCACCAAAGCTGTGGCCGAGAAGGGAGGCGAGGTCCTGGCTGCAGGTGTGTGGAGAGCTGAGTTGTTCACTGCTACACGGCACGTGGGGAAGGGAGAGTGGGGAGACCTGGAATCTAAGACACTACCCAGCACCAGGGCTTGGTGACAAGCACAAAGGAAGCTCCCCAAGAAAGCCCAGGACTCCAGTGAGTGCAGCGTGGGTTCCGGGGTGCTGGAGGGTGCTGGTTCCGGGGTGCTGGAGGGTGCTGTCTAGGCACAGCTTTCCACTTGCTTGTTCCCGCTTCTTTCCAGAAGAAGAGCTCGAAGAAGAAATCAAACTGTGTAAGAGGCCGCCTCCAATGTATCTATGTCATCGTCCCTGTGAATCGCACAGAAACTGTCAAGCAAACAACAAATGCTGTGCAAGCTTCTGCGGGAACGTCTGCTTGAGCCCCCATTAAGTAGGAGACGGGGCTGTGCACCCTGCTGCCCCAGCCCGCTGTTCACATGCTGTGCCCACATCTGATTAACAAGGGCCTCCAATCACAAGCAGGGACGCTGGCCTCTCCACTGTCTGAACTCCGTGTCCCTGCTCAATAAACCGGAACCAATGCTCAGACCCAGCTCTGTTCTTCCCACTGCTTGTGGCCGTTAGGAACCCACTGCAGCTCCCACACATGCCCCGCCCCGCTGGGGCCCTGATCTCCAACCTCTCTCCCTGCCCTTCCCTTCCCCACTCCCGCTGTCTGGCCCAGGCACCCCTGCCAACCCCCAGGAGGCCTAGCCCCCTGTCGCCCTGCTCAGTGAACCAGCGCTAGGGCCTGATCAAACATGAGGTGGGTGAAGGTCAAAACCTGGGGCGTGGAGTGGGAAGCCCCAGGGGTTGCCTTCCTGCCCCTGACCTTGGTCCGTCCCCACCCCATTCCCCCCATCTCCTTGTGAGGTTCAGATTACTGTCTCCCTATGGTGAGGACAATGAGGCCCAAGGATGCCACGTGGCAAGCCCAAGGCCACGAGAGAGAGGATCTGATGCAGCCAGGGGAGGGTGTTTCCTCTGGAGTCCTTTTTTTTTTTTTTCCTGCCTTGCATTTCCTGAGACCAAAGGCAAGCTGCGAGGTGCCTACACTGACCCCAAACCTCCCCTGTCCATCACCCACCAATATGGCCTCTGCTATGCTGGAAACTAGAATGGCTGGCAGGGTCTGAGACTCTGGTGTCTCTCATTAACTGGATGGTCCCGCCTTCTCCCAGGCCTCTTCTTTATGGGATCACTCTCCTTTTGATCCAAGGGAACATCGAAAGGTTGGGGGACAGGTGGTTCATGGTGATGTTGCTAAGGATGCACCCATGCAGGGTGGCTATGGGACCTTCCATGGCCCTTTTGTGAGTGCTGGAAATGGATCGCCAAGGGTACAGACTCCTCCTTACCCCGTACAATACAATCACAACTCCTCTGAAATGACCTTGGGGCTGGGTTGGGTCACTATGGGCAACTGGAGTAGATGTGAAGAGAATTCAGGCAGGAAGGCCATGCCCACAGGCCAGTGTACAGTCTTATGCTCCAGTTTAGAGCTTCTTCAGTCATCCTATAAAAGCGACATCATAGGTGGAAAACTCCTCCATCACACCAGAGCCCCTGACCACCTCAGAAGCATCGCAAGGCTCCAGGGATTTCATGTTCATGTCCATCTTTGCAAAGAGTTGTCCTTAGTCAAGGAGGCCTTGGGAAATTTCACATGATCCACCACCAACACAGACCCTTGGGGGTAGTTGTGCCTGGGAAAGCAACAGGAGATGCCTCAAGTGCTTAGGTCCCTGCCAAGTGGGAGACCTGGATGGAGTTCCTGGCTCTTGCCTTTGGCCTGTTCCAGACCTGGCTATTGTGGCCATTTGGAACGTGAACCGGCAGATGGAAGACTGACTCTCTCCCCACCCCCACCCCTTCTCTCTCTGTGTAACTCTGACTTTCAAATAAATAAATAAATCTTTAAAAAATAAAATAAATATTTTTAAATACCCAAAAATTATTGACCCATGCCTCTGTAAGAAACAAATTTCCAGAGACCTGCTCTCTGAAGGATGGGATGCAAGGGCTGCATGCCACTGCCGACGTGAAAACAGGAATAAACTTCCACTCTGTGAAGCTGGTGAGATTAGCCTGCCAGTTCCAAGGCTGTCAGACAGGGCAGGACGAGGCGGGGAGCTGGCGCCCACTGCAGGAAGGGAATGGCACTGCAGATGGTGGTGCGGGTGATCAAGGGTAGTGAGATGGAAAAGAAGGAGCTAAGCCCACCGGGGTTGGTAAATGCATTTATTTGTCAGAGGCTTGACCCTGTCCTGCCCTCAGGAAGAATAGACTGGGGTTCCTAAAAGCAGCCACAAAGCAGAGCTCCGAAGCCTACCTGCCGTCAGCTGGAGCAAGTTCAGGGCTTTAGCACTTAGTAGTCAGTGTCCTGAAAGAGAAGAAGGTTACACTCTTAGAAGCCGGGAACTCAGATACACAAGTGCTTGTTTGCAAGCTTTCCAGTCCCCACGTCCACCAGCTAACGGGGCGGGACTATTTAAATGCAGCAACAGGAATTGTCCGCTTCCGAGCAGGTGTGGCATTGGTCCACTGAACAGAAAAACGTAGAGACTGGGCCTGGCCGGGTGACACGAACGTGTGGGAGGGTCTGACTCTGCACTCTGGGCTTAGAAATCTGGACAAAAGGCCGGCGCCGTGGCTCAATAGGCTAATCCTCCGCCTGCAGCGCCGGCACACCAGGTTCTAGTCCCAGTCAGGGCGCCGGATTCTGTCCCGGTTGCCCCTCTTCCAGGCCAGCTCTCTGCTGTGGCCCGGGAGTGCAGTGGAGGATGGCCCAGGTGCTTGGGCCCTGCACCCCATGGGAGACCAGGATAAGTACCTGGCTCCTGGCTCCTGCCTTCCGACCAGCACAGCGTGCCGGCCTCAGCGGCCATTGGAAGGTGAACCAACAGCGAAGGAAGACCTTTCTCTCTGTCTCTCTCTCTCACTGTCCACTCTGCCTGTCAAAAAAATAAATAAATAAAAATAAAATTAAAAAAAAGAAATCTGGACAAAAGTCAGCCAAACGGCAAACTGCTGAGTAACATCAGAAAGACAGCACAGATGTTTAGCTGACGCTCCCCCCGCTGTCCTGGCTTGGTCGTTAGCGAATTACTGTCTGGGTTTGGGGGACATTGCCTTCTGCTACTTTCGCACCCCGGCTTTGCGGAAGCTCTGTGGTCAGTTCAGGGGGTGCGGCCTCGGGAAGAGGGTGAGAATCTCCCAGCTCACCGGCTCTCTCCAGCAGATGTCTCCACAGTAGGTCCAGCAGCACGTGTGGTTTTCCTGGAAACATTTAAAGCTCCTCGAACACTTGTTCCTGCAGTCCGAAACGGTTGGCTCTCCCCAGCATTCCACAATTAACAGTTCTTCCTCTGGAATGGAGACAAGACAGCCGGAGGTAGGCAGGGCCCTGTGGCGGGGACCCCTCTGCCGGCCCCCCACTCCGGTGGATCTCCCCAGTGCCGCAGAGCACGCCAGGGCAGGACTCGGGCACCCCAGAGCCCATGTGCCTCCTGTACAGGCTGCATTTATGCAACAGAGCCCCTCAGAGCCAGAGAGAGCCTCCACCCGCCGCCCTGTAGGGAAGCTGGGCCAGGGGGGCAAGGAGCAGGTTCCCCTGTCCTCTCCAAATTCGTATCGCTCTGGCCCTTTCTCCTCAACACCTCCATCCATACCCTTTTCTTCTCGGATGACCCCCGACCTTGCCGCAGTAGAGACCCCTCTCACGACTTGTTTCTGTCTCTTCAGATTCTGGAAGATTCTGTCACTACCAGCATGTGCAGGTTGAGGGCCCCTTATCCAAAACGCTTGGGAACCAGATATTTTTCGGCTTTGGGATTTTTTTTTCAAATACTAGAATATTTGCATATACATAATAGGCTACCTTTGGGGATGGGACCCAAGTCTAAATACAAAATTCATTCTCATCTACATCTTATACACACAGCCTGAAGGTAATTTTATACAATATTTTTAATGCACCTGCATTTTGACAATGACTGGTATCACAGTAGATAAGGCGTGAAATTTTCTACCCACAGTGTCAGGTTAAAAAATCAAAGTTCTGGATTTTGGGGGCCAGTGCTGTGGCATAGCAGGTAAAGCCTACATCCCAAGTGCCAGCTGCTCCATCGCCGATCCAGCTCCCTGCTAATGCACCCGGGAAATGGTGGAAGACGGCACAAGTGCTTGGGCCCCTGCATCCTCGTGGGAGACCTGGAAGAGGCTCCTTCCTCCCTTGGGCTTCAGGTTGGCCCAGCTCTGACCAATGCAGCCATTTGGGGAGTGGACCAGTGGATGGAAGATCTCTCTCTCTCTCTCTCTCTCTCTCTAACTCTGCCTTTCAAATAAATAAATACATCTTTAAAAACCAGTTGTGGGTTTTGGAGCATTTTGGATTTCAAATTTCCGGATTGGGGATGCTCAGCCTGTATTAGGGAATACCCACTTGGTGCTCATCCAAGTAAGCACAGCTAGGGCGCAGCAGTTCTGAAGGGGGAGTAGGAGCGCTGTGTCGTGCCCCACCTTCTCTCCAGCCCGTGGAATGTATGTAGAACTAGGCTGATCCTCATTGCCACGCTCAAGGTTGGAACAGGAGGCAGTAAAGGACCTCAGCTTGGGAATTCCTTGGATTTCTGTGCACACAAAGGGTCTGAAGGTGGTCCTGAGCCAGATGTGCCAGCATGAAGCCCCTCACTTGTCCAGGAACAGGCATAGCCCCTTCTCCCTTGGCCGCCCACCCAGCCTCACACCTACTGCTGTATCTTTTCTTCATTTCTCCCAGCACAGTCGGCAGCACCAGGCAGAAGAATGCCAGGACGAGCGGTGTGCGGAGCTTCATGGTGCTGACCAGACGGGTCCGCATATATGTGGTCAGGGGATCCTTCCTTCCTTCTCACTTGCTGCTGGCAATCTGGACACGGAAAGCGGGGGGAGAGGTGTGAAGCAAGACGAGGGGCTTCTGAGAATTCTTCAGGGCTGCGTTGTGGTGTAATGGGTTAAGCCGCCACCTGTGTCGCTGGCATCCCATATGGGCGCCGGTTCAAGCCCTGGCTGCTCCACTTCTGATCACTCCCTACTAATGCATCAGAAGATGGCCCAAGCGCTTGGGGCCCTGTGCCCATGGCGGAGACCCAGATGAAGCTCCTGGCTCCTGGCTTCAGCTTGGCCCAGCCCCAGCCACTGTGGCCATTTGGGGAGTGACCAGCAGATGTAAGACCTCTCTCTCTCTTTCCATTTTAAATAAATAAAAATAAATCTTTTAAAAAATAAGTCTTCATACTGATCTTCTAGGTATCCCTCCTGTCCCTCTGCCCACCTGACGACAGACACATACCTAAGCTGAGCGTCTGCTTTGCTTACATCACATTCACTAATATCACATTTTCTTTACTGACAGACACTTAGGTGTGGAAGACGTGGAATCTTGGCTCTTGTGAGTAATGCTGCAATGAACATGGGGTGTTTCTTTGGAACTGTACCAAGAAGTGGGATTCCTAGATTGTGTGTTAGCTCTATTTACTGTTCTCCGGGGTTACATATTTTAAATACCCGCAACAATGTACGGGAGTTCCCTTTTCTCCAGATACTTTTCACAACTTTTTATCTTTTGACTTTTTGATCATAGCTATCCTAACGTGGGTGGAGAAATATCTCATTTTCTGTTTTTCACTTGCATTTCCCCAGTGATCGATGAAGTTGAGCATCTTATAATGTTGGACATCTACATGTTTTCTTTGGAGAAATGTCTAGTCAGATTCTTCGCCCATTTCTCAATTGGATTATCGGTTCTATGCTGCTCATTTGTGTGATTTCCTTATATATTTTGGATATTAACTCTTCATCAGATAACTGTTAGAAAAATATTTTCTCCCTTGGGCTGGCATTGTGGCGAAGGGCGTTGAACCACTGCCTGTGATGCCAGCAGCCCATGTCAGAGCAAATTCCGGCTGCCCTGCTTCCCTTCCAGCTCCCTCCCAGTGCACCTGGGACAGCAGCAGAGGATGGCCCTGGTGCTTGGACCACTAACGTGGAAGACCCAGTGGAATGTTCCAGGCTTCTGGCCTATTCCTGGTGGTTGAGGCCACTTGGGGAGTGATATAGTGGATAGAAGGTCTCTTTCAGTCTGTCTCCCTTCTCTCTATTTTTACTCTGCCTTTCAAACAAATAAATATTTTTAAAACAAAAAAGAACATATTTTCTTCCATTTTTAAAATTGTGACTTATTTTTGTTGTTTCTTTTGCTGTACAGAGCTTGTTACTTTGATGCAAGCCCACTTACTTATGTTTGATTTTTTTTTTTTTTTTGACAGGCAGAGTGGACAGTGAAAGAGAGAGACAGAGAGAAAGGTCTTCCTTTGCCGTTGGTTCACCCTCCAATGGCCGCCGCGGCCAGCGCACTGCGGCCGGCGCACCGCACTGATCCGATGGCAGGAGCCAGGTACTTCTCCTGGTCTCCCATGGGGTGCAGGGCCCAAGCACCTGGGCCATCCTCCACTGCACACTCTGGCCACAGCAGAGGGCTGGCCTGGAAGAGGGGCAACCAGGACAGAATCCGGCGCCCTGACCTGGACTAGAACCCGGTGTGCTGGCGCCGCAAGGCGGAGGATTAGCCTAGTGAGCCGCGGCGCCGGCTTATGTTTGATCTTACTTGTACTTTTGATGTCTTCTCCAGGCCATTGCCAAGGCCAATGTCAAGAAGATTTTTCCCATCGCTTCTCGGCCTTTTGGCTAAGATCAAGTGTAGTATCTGTTCTTATCAGTTTAATATCTGATACGTCCTCTATCCGAGGACAATATATTAAATGGATTTTTGGAGCCAGGAGTTGCTCTGTCCACTCCGAAAAAAAAAAAAGATTTTTCCCTACACTTTCTTTTAGTAATTTCATGATTTCAAATCATGCACTTATGTCTTCAATGCATTTGAGTTGATTTTTGTGTAAGATGAAATATGGAGTCCAGCATAATCCTTGTATGTGGATATCCAGTTTCCCAACACCACTTTTTGAAGAAGCTCTCCCTCCTCCATCCCACTGCACACTCCTGGCACCCTTGTCAACCATCAGGTGACCCTATGGGGGTGGAGGTGCAGTGTATGTGTTTCCGCACTCTGTATTTTGTTCCATTGGTCTGTATGTCTACTTCCATGGCAGTACCACATTGATTTGATTGCTGGAATTTGATAATGCTCATATATTTTGAATCCAGGAAGTGTGGTATCTCTAGCTTTGCCCTCCTTGGTCACGATCACTTTGATTATTCAGGGTTTTTGTGATGCCATGTGAATTTTATGACTTTTTTATTTTTGTAAAGACTATCTGAAATTACCGGAAGAAAATGTAGGGGAAACACTTCAAGACATTGGTGTAGGTGATGACTTCTTGGATAAGGTCCCCAAAGCACAGGCAACAAAAGCAAAACTAGATAAACGGGATCATATCAAACTCAGAAGCTCCTGTGTAGCAAAGGAAACTATCAATAGAGTGAAGAGACATTCAACAGAATGGGAGAAATATTTGCCAACTACTACCAACAAAGAATTAATATCCAGAGTATATCTGCAACTCAAAAAAATCGACAACAAAAAAACAACCAATTCAGTTATGAATGGCCAAAAGACCTAAATAGACTGTCTCAAAAGGAGAAATACTAATGAACAACAATTATGTGAGAAAACTGTCAATATCACTAGCCATCAGGGAAATACAATTAAAAACCACAATGAATTATCACCCCACCCTTATCATAATGGCTTTTACCATATTCCACTCTCGGTTCCTCTAAATCTGCTAATCTCTTTGTCTTCTGACACCACAAGGTTTTTGTCATCTCCTTCCTTGGCAGCTTGGGCTTCACCCAGTAACGCACAGTCCTTTTTTCTTCCAAGACTTTGGGAGCTGATTTGAGAATTTCGCTAACTCATCCATGCAGCTCACTTTAAATCTTACTCCTTTTCCCTTCTAGCTCACTCTTAGCTCTCGCTGCCTCCAGTCGGCTGTCTGTTATCTCTAACTGGTTTCACTATTCAGAGTATTTGACTGTGTTGGTCGATGCGTTTCTCATTCAGCTTTATGAATTCATTGACTGTAAAAGCATTCTGTCCACTGTCGTTAGTCATTTTTCCAAACACTCAGCCTGTAGTTTACCAGACTAAACTTCAGCTTCCAAGGACCTGGCTGTAGCCATCATCTCGGCCAACTGGTATACCCTCCAAGTATTCTGTGGATATTTCTGTTTCTCAGCCTTTAATTCTGCTACTATAGCCTCTATATCTGTTAATTTCTGACACAAATGACATAAAGAACAAAAGGTAGTTCTTTATCTTTTTCCTGTTTTGCAATCTCTGACCCACATTTTAATTTTTTCTTCTAAAGCACTGGCAAATCCTTATTTATGGTTTTCAAGTTCTAGTTTGAGAAATCTATGTTCCTAGTGAAACTTTGTATAACCAGCTTTTTGCTTTTCTACTTCATTTAGGTTCTAAAAATGTTCTCTCACTGGAGTTTCAAATTCTTGTTGTTTTTTGTTCTTCACATAATTCCAATTGTTATGGAGTTAATACCTGCAGTCTCAACTCATTAAGTCTTTAGTTTTCTGTAGTAAATCCCCTCTTAGCTCTTCAAGCAACAGCTCGAATTTCTCTGGTGAGTTTGCTCTTAATCTAACAGGGGCTTGAGTTCATTTTGTGACTTTACGTACACATCCTGTAACCTCACATGTTCAGCTTTGATCACCAACTTTATGATGTTCATAGCCTAACTATTCCTCCATCAACACCTTTTGAAACTCGGACTGAGAACTTGACAGCCCAAGGTCCCGACCAGGAGGAAAATTTTTGGGAAAAGTCTCCATTTTGGTAAATGATCTGACAACCATGTGTAAAGACAAATTCTGGCTTCCTTAAGGTTTTAGTTTTCTCTCCAAGAGTGTTTCCTCTTCTTTCTCGCTTTCTCAGGAAGTCAAACTGCATCAGACTCACAAACAGTATTTTTTGTTTGTTTGTTTTGTTTTGTTTTGACAGGCAGAGTGGACAGTGAGAGAGAGAGACAGAGAGAAAGGTCTTCCTCTTGCCGTTGGTTCACCCTCCAGTGGCCGCCACGGCCGGCGCGCTGCGGCCGGCCCACTGCGCTGATCCGAAGGCAGGAGCCAGGTACTTCTCCTGGTCTCCCATGGGGTGCAGAGCCCAAGCACTTGGGCCATCCTCCACTGCACTCCCTGGCCACAGCAGAGAGCTGGCCTGGAAGAGGGGCAACCGGGACAGAATCCGGCACCCCGACCGAGACTAGAACCCGTGGGTTCTAGTCTAGTCTAGCGCTGCTAGGTGGAGGATTAGCCTAGTGAGCCGCGGCGCCGGCCACACAAACAGTCTTTACAACATGCCACATAACACGTAGCAGTGACCAGTGTTCCAAGTGCACTCACCACAGGGGGCACCTCCACCAGCACCCACCCAGCTCTGCTTGCGAGGCCACTGGGCTACACCTGAGCCACCTCTACTAGAGAGGTCCCGTGACCTCTTGTGCTCCAGGCCAAAGAGGAGCAGGAGGAGCAGGGCCAAGCAAATCCTTCAGACTCCTGACCCTGGAGACATCCAAGGTCTCCTGGGAGGGCTCCAAGGCTGGAGAAAGCAGTGGCAGTGACGACAGAGAAAAGCTCGGCTCCTCCTCAGGCTCCTCCTCAACTGGCCTCAGGGGGGCAGGGTCAGCCCTGTTGCCGTCATTAGCTCAGATACGATCTCAACCCACTACCTCTCACCTCTCCAGCCAGATCCAGAACTTCTGTTTGGTTCTTTTTTATCTCTTTATTGAACTTCTCATTTTATCCTCCTTTCAGTAGTGTGATATTATCCTACTTTTCTTTTGTCTATATGCATTCTCCTTCCAGGTTTCCCACACGGGTGCAGGGGCCCAAGTACTTGGGCCATCTTCTAGTGCTTTCCCAGGCCATAGCAGGGAGCTGGATGGGAAGAGGTGCAGCCGGGACTCAAACCAGTACCCATATGGGATGCTGGCGCTGCAGGCTGGGGCTTTAACCTGCTGCGCCACAGCACCAGCCCCTATATGTGTTCTCTTAAGCTCACTGAGCTTCATTAAAATGAATATTTTGGGCCGGCGCCCCAGCTCAGCAGGCTAATCTTCCACCTGCGGTGCCGGCACACCAGGTTCCAGTCCTGGTCGGGGTGCCGGATTCTGTCCCGGTTGCCCCTCTTCCAGGCCAGCTCTCTGCTGTGGCCCGGGAGGGCAGTGGAGGATGGCCCAAGTGCTTGGGCCCTGCACCTGCATGGGAGGCCAGGGGAAGCACCTGGCTCCTGCCATCGGATCAGTGCAGTGCGCCGGCCGCAGCGCACCGGCCGTGGCGGCCATTGGAGGGTGAACCAACGGCAAAAAGGAAGACCTTTCTCTCTGTCTCTCTCTCTCACTGTTCACTCTGCCTGTCAAAAAAAAAAATGAATATTTTGACTTCTATGTCAGGCAGGTAACAGATCTCATTTTGGGGTTCAGTTATTGGAGCTTGATTTTTGTCCTTTTAGTGTTGTCATGTTTCCATGATTTTCTTAATACTTGCAGCTTTTGCACATTTGAGAAAGCAATTTTCTCTTCCAGTCTTTATTGACTTGCTCTAATAGTTCATACTTTTAGTTAGACAACCCAGATGAGGTTCTCAAAACCTACTCCACAGGGCCAGCACTGTGGCGTAGCAGGTAAAGCCACCACCTACAGTGCTGGCATCCTGTATGGCACAAGTTTGAGTCCCGGCTGCTCCACTTCTGATCCAGCTCTCTGCTATGGCCTGGGAAAGCAGTGGAAGATGGCCCAAGTGCTTGGGCCCCTGCACCCATGTGGGAGACTTGGAGGAAGCTCTTGGCTTCAAATCAGCATTGCGGCCATCTGGGGAGTGAACCAGTGGATGGAAGACTTTCTCTCTCTCTCTCTCTCTCTCTCTCTGTCCCACCACCACCACCACCACCACTTCTCTGTAACTCTGCCTTTCAAATAAATAAATAAATCTTCAGGAAAAAAAAAAAAACACTCCATGCTTTTCTCATTCCTTCTTGGCAGGGAAGTCTTAGGGTTGTGAGCCATCTCTCAAATGACACTGTAGGGACACATGAGGTGCTGACCTCAGGGTCCTATGAAGTGCCACCTACAAGGTGTCAGAAACACAACAGCAGGTGTCTGAGTCATACCTGAGAATGCACAAAGGCGGGAGGCTCGCTAAAGTGAAGATGACCACGGAAGACGACAGCTTGTACTATGGGGTTGGATAGAGTAAAGGATACAAGAAAGAGCAAGTGTGGCGTTGTCCTAGATGCAGTCCACACAGACGGCTGGGAACGCCATGGACCTGAGCAGCAGGAAGAAGACAGTGAATGGTCAGGTGCCTTGAGTCTGGGCACGGAGTCACAGTAGACTGACCAGACAGGAGATGGATCCAGCCAGATCAAGAGAATTACAGGTAAGAAAGTTTCATGAGTTTGGGGGGAATGGCTGTTGGAGGCACTCAAGGAACCCACGGAAGCAGCCACAGCAGAGTCTGTTTTCAGCAGTGCTAAGCCCCAATGGTGTAACAGCTCTTGTCACAGAGAGCACCTCTGAACACTTTCATCTCTTGCTCCCCTCCCACCTCCAACTTGGCGGTGGATCAGCTAGAAGAGGAAAGCAAGCTGACCGCTCTCCTCCACAATGCCCTGTTTCCAGATCGGGGAGTCCACAGTGTTAAGTCAAGCGTAGCATTTGACTATTACCTGGGTTCAGACTTGTTATATTCTAAATTTAATTGTGTCTTGTGACCCAAGAAGAACCAGAAAGTTGAGTTCTGTACCCAAGCTCTCACAGAGACAAAAAAAGAACCAGCTGCTTCGAACAAAACTCAAAGGGCCAAGGGACAGCCTCTGAGTGCTTTACAAGAACCTGTGGAGCATGGGCACTTCCCCAGCAGGCTAGTCACATCTACCATTAGTATTTCCTCATTTGCCCAAGACGTCTCAATATTTGTCATTTGTATGTTCCTTTCTTAATTTTTTTAAGTTTTGGATTAACATGAAATACCTGTACATTTTATGGGGTATGGTGCAATATTTCAACACATATAAACAGCATAAACCAATCATATAGCTTCTATTTGATATATTTTGATTATGGTTCCCCCACCCAAATACACACACACACACACACACACACACACACACACATTGGGGCTTAATTCCTCAGTGTAGCAGTGTTGGGAGGTAGGGACTAGTGGGAGATGTTTGGGTCATGAATGGATTAATGCTCTTTTTTTTTTTCTTTGATAATTATCTTTATAATAGAGTTAGACAGTGAGAAAGAGAGACAGAGGTTTTCCTTCCTTTGGTTCACCCCCCAAATGGCTGCTACAGCCAGAGCTACGCCAATCCGAAGCCAGGAGCCAGGTGCCTTTTCCTGGTCTCTCATGTGGGTGCAGGGACTCAAGCACTTGGGCCATCCTCCACTGCCTTCCCGGGCCACAGCAGAGAGCTGGACTGGAAGAGGAGCAACCAGGACTAGAACCTGGCATCCATGTGGGATGCTAGTGCCGCAGGCGGAGGATTAACCAAGTGAGCCATGGCGCCGGCCCTGGATTAATGCTCTTCTCAAGGCAGTGGACTGGCTATCATGGGAGTTTGGCCCCCTTTTCTTTCTTCTGCAAATGCCCCTTGCCCTTCCACTAGGATGCAGAAGCCAACCCGATGCTGGCACCAATGTTTTGGTCTTCCCAGTCATCAGGACCATGAGTCCAAAATATAATCTCTTTTCTTTATAAATCACCCAGTTCAGGGAATCTGTTATAGCAATAGAAATTGGACCAGGACACTCTTCCTTAGGAAAAAAGTGCCATCAGTAAATTTCTTGAAACTACATTTTTTTTTCAAACCCACTATTAACTTAAGAGCAAAATATATATACCCAGAAATTTGTTGATCCTAGGTAGAGGATGCTCTCTGCTCCATATTCTGGGTAGTTGTTTCCAGATATTTTTTTCTCCATTAATATTGGTTTATTCTTCCAAAAGGTACATATCTTATCTTAACCATATGAGGGAAATTCTCTCCCATTTGTCACACCACAACAAGGACTGTTGGTGCAGCACAGGCCAGACAGCAAAACACACACACTGAAATCAGAGAGACTTTGGCTTGAATCCAAGCCCTACACATTTAGCTGATGTAAATTGGTTGAACACACAACTCCTCGGAGCCCTAGTTTCCTCTTCTACTAGCACCATCATTGCAAAGGTTGACTAGCTGACACTGAGCGTCAGGCCTGGAGCACAGTGCACGGAAGTACACACTGAGTGTGAGTAGTAGTCAGCACCCAGGTTGTGTCTGTGTTGGTCTCTCCACTGGAACAACACAGACAATAGTTTATCCCACAAGCCAGGTGCAGTCCTGATGTGGAGGCATGACCTGGACAGGGAGCCTACCCAAGCAAGCCCAAACCAGAAATGGGACCCCGACCTGCACCTACCGCGGAAGGCACCTGAGTTGGAGTAGCTGGTGATCACTTTGCTGATGACTCTTCTGCCTCGCTGCAGGGAACTGTGGAACCCTGGACGAGGGGCAGGCAGTGAGCAGAACAAATGTAGATGACTCAGATGTTAATCGTGCTTCTAGTTGTGGTGTTCTCTGCCGATTCCAAGTTGAGTCCATACTGAACACTGTCTCTACACTCTGTCCACGGAGTACTTTTCGTTTTCATTTTGCTGCAGGCGATATAGATAAAAACAGAACACTGCGGACATGCAGGAGCCTCACCTCCCCCCCACACACACACACACATGCACACACGTACACAGAGTAGTCTGGGTGATCACAGAAGCAAGGGAAGGATCTACGTACCCATTTTTTCTTCCACATTGTATGACGATCTCTATAAAGCTCACCCATGTTTATATCATTTCTCTGTTGCAGGCATTAGTCTGACACTGCCTGTCACCAACTTCTTGTGGCTTTTGTGCCAATGAAAAGCAAGATCTCTCCCAATAGGGCTTGGAAAAGGCCTGTGTGAAGATTTAAAACGCAGACGTAAACTAGATTCAGATCCTAGCTCCCACTTATTTTGAACAAGGCGCTAAATCTCCTCGTGTGTGAGGATAGTAGCAGCACTTGTCCTCGTAGGATTGTAGGGGGGAGTCCATGAGTTTTACATGTTAAGTTCTGAACTCGTGGGGTCGGCACTGGGGCATAGCGGGTATAGCCGTCGCCTGCAGTGCTGGCATTCTATAGGGACGCCAGTTTGGGACTCAGCTGCTCCACTTCCAATCTGGCTCTCTGCTATGGCCTAGGAAAGCAGTAGAAGACGGCCCAAGTCCTTGGGCCCCTGCACTCACATGGGAGACCTGGAAGAAGCTCCTGGCTCCCAGCTTTGGGATAGATAGAAGACCTCTCTCTCTCTCTCTCTCTCTCTCTCTCTCTGCCTCTCTGCCTTTCAAATAAACTAATTAATTTTTTAAAAAGTTCTGAACTCAATGTCTGACATGTAGGTAATGCTAAATAATGTTTTTTAGATAAATCAGTGAAACATTTACACAGGGAAGTATCCATAATCACCCAATTTAACATCAATTTCACTATCTCTCAAAAATTTAGGGGCTGGCATTGTGGTATAGTGGATAAGGCCACTGCCTGCACTGCCATCATCCAATTTGAGTGCCATTTCAAGTCCCAGCTGCTCCACTTCCAATCCAGCTCCCTGCTAATGTGCCTAGAAAAGCAATGGAAGATGGTCCAAGTGCTTGGGCCCTTGCACCCACATGGAGGACCCAGATGGAATTCCAGGTTCCTGGCTTTGCCCTGGCCAAGCTTTGGCTATTGTGGCCATTTGGGGAGTAAACCAGTGGATGGAAGACCTCTTTCTATGTCTCTTCCTCTCTATCTCTGCCTTTCAAATAAATAATAAACAAAACTTTAAAAATTTACTCATAACAAGTAGCATTCTCAATGACTCTATGAGTGTAGCATTACTATCTTCCTATTTTCCAAATGCAGGAAGTTGCTCAGGGACACACAGCAGTGACAGGTAAGGGTACGAGAGGGAGTGAGTCCAGAGCCAGCTGTACCAGACAGTGAAGCCTCCAGCTTCTCCGGGCCCTGGAAGCCAGGACAGACCCGGGCAAGTTCCCATCACCAAGGCAGTTTCTCCAGCTGCCTCTTCGAGACTACCAATGGGAAGGAGACACCTGGGGCCTAAGCTGGCTGTGAGTGGCTCTGGGTAAGTCCAGAGTGGGGCCTGGAGTACTTCCAGTTACTTGGGCCAGAAAATGGAGAGGGAGTAGACAAGAAAAAGAAGCCTCTAGGGCTGGCGCTGTGGCGCAGCGGGTTAAAGCCCTGGCCTGAAGCACCGGCATCCCATACAGGTGCTGGTTCTAGTACCGGATGCTCCTCTTCCGGTCCAGCACTGCTATGGCCTGGGAAAGTAGTGGAAGATGGACCAAGTCCTTGGGCCCCTGCACCCATGTGGGAGACCCAGAAGAAGCTCCTGGCTCCTGGCTTCAGATCAGCACAGCTCCGGCCATTGTGGCCACCAGGGGAGTGAACCAGCGGATGGAAGACCTCTCTCTCTGTCTCTACCTCTCTCTGTAACTCTGTCTTTCAAATAAATAAAATAAATCTTAAAAAAAAAAAAAGAAAAAGATAGCCACTCTTGCTCATTTAAAAAAGCAGCAGCAGTAGCCTGTAGATTTCCCCCACCCTCTTGCTTCTGTGCCTTTGTCTCCTTGCCTCCTCGCACCTTACACACTCTTGGCTTTGAGCTCTTCACGGGCGCCTCATCACTTCACCCCATTTGCTTTCCATGCTCTTACTTTCATTCTTTTCATACTATCACTTCATGCTTCTGTAGCAACACAAAGCACATGTATGCTTAGTGTTAGCAGTAGATTACAGGAATTATCCATTTTAGCTGAAGAATATTCCATAGGAGATATAGATATAGATATAGATATAGATATAGATATAGATATAGATATAGATAGATATCACATTTTCTTTATTCTTTCACCCATCAGCGGAAACCTTGGTTGAACCCATACCTTAGCTATTTTAATAGTGCTTTAACACTATTGGGGATGTAAACTTCTCTTTGAAATAATAATTTCATTTTCTTTAAATACATAAAAATAATCAGTGCCAGTATTCCTGGTATGGTATTTCTTTTTTTTTAAGATTTATTTATTTCCTTGAAAGGCAGAGTTACAAAGAGGCAGAGGTGCAGAGAGAGAAGTCTTCCACCCACTGGTTTACTCCCCAAATTGCCGCAACAGCCAGAGCTGTGCTGATCCGAAGCCAGGAGCCAGAGCTTCTTCCGAGTCTCCCACATGGCCCAAGCACTTGAGCCATCTTCCACTGCTTTCCCAGACCACAGCAGAGAGCTGGATTGGAAGTGGAGCAGCCAGGACTCGAACTGGTGTCCATATGGGATGCCAGCACTACAGGCAGCAGCTTTAGCCACTATGCCACAGCGCTGGCCCCATTTTTTTTTTTTTTTTTTTTTTGGTATTTCTATTGTTAGCAATTGGGGAGCAACCATACCATTTTCTATAGTTGCTGTACAAATTTGTATTCTCACCAGCAATGTGTAAGAGCTCCCCTTTCTCCTGATCCTTGTCAGCATTTGTTATTCTTTGTCTTTTTTATAACAACCATTCTTACAAGGGTGAGATGGTATGTCACTGTAGCTTGAATTTGCATTTCCCTGTTGATTATTGATATTCAGCATTTTCCCCATACATTCATTGGCCACTCCTATTTCTTTTTTTAAGAAATCTCGATTCGGGTCCTTTGCCCATCTTTAAAATATCTTCTTATTGAGTCATTTCCGTTCTTGGCATATTTTGTATATCAGCCCCTTGTCTGATGTATGATTTGCAAATACTTTCTCCGAATAAGTATGTTATGTTTCCTTTGTTATACAGAACCATTTTCATTGGATGCAATCCTATTTATTTTTATTTTACTGCCTGCACTTCTGAGGTCATACCCAAAAAATTAGTGCCCAGACCAGGGACATGGACGGTTCCCTCTATGTCTTTATAGTACCTTTCACAGTTTCAGTTCTTACATTTAAGTCCATTATCCATTTTGAGTTGATTCTTGCATAAGTGATGAGGGAAGAATCCACTTAGATTATTCTGCACGTGGATGTCTTCTTTTTAACATCATGTATTGAAGTCTCCTCTCCTCATTGCATACTCTTGGCACATTGTTGAGAATCTGTGGCTTACTTATGGGCTTTTCATTGGCTGTGTGCGTTCTTATGCACTACCATGCTATTTAGATTACTATAGCTGTGTAATATATCTTGAATTCAGTCGTGTAATAACTCCAGTTTTGTCCTTTTTGCTCAAAATGGCATTGGCTATTTGGAGTCTCTTGTGGCTCAATATGAATTTTAGGACTTTTTTTTTCTATTTCAGTGAAGAATGACTTGGGAATTCTGATAGGGATTCAACCTGTACATTACTTTGGATAGTATGGACATTTTAAAAATACTAATTCTGTATCCCCAATTCAAAATAGCTCAATTAATTCAAAATAGCTAAGATCAACCCAGATACCCATCTGGATAAAGAAAGTGTGACATATATACACTATTGAATACTACTCAGCCATAAAAAAATAAAATTCTGTCTTTCACAACAAAATGGCTGCAACTGGAAACCATTATGCTTAGTGAAATAAGCCAGTCCGAAAAGGACAAATATCATGTGTTTTCTCTGATATGTGGCAGTTAAAATGTATAGGAATGAAATGGACATCCGGTGATCTGATTGTCGCCTTTAGCCCTTGTTTAGACTCCTGTGGAACTGTGGTCTTCCTACCTTTTACTGGTTGAATATTCCGCTTAGTGACAGATGAAACCTGAGGTCATAGAGTGGACTGAAATTATGTCTTTGCAAAAGTTAAAGAAAAAGAAAAGAAAGGAAGGCGTGAGGGGGTGGGGGAAGGAGCGGGAGGGCAGGGCAGTGTCGTTGTCTGCTTGGAACTGCCCCCTGTGAAGTACATGAAATCTGTTCTCTTCATAGCAAAAACAAATTTTTTAAAGGGGGCGTGGATTTAAGAACACTGCCTGGCCCTGTAGTGGTGTGACTGGGAGGTGCTTGGGTTTCTGTCTGGTCCCTCGGGACTGGAATCCACAGGGGAAGAGCAGTCGCAGCACGCCTCCACGGCCCTCTTCCCCTCTTCTTGAAGCAGTGCCGGTTAAACCCAGCCATCCTTGGCCAAGACTCACCCATGCTGCCGGCACCATGAAGCCTGTGCTCCCTTGCCACTTCCTGCTGGTGCTCTGCCTGGCGCCGCACCTGGTGCCTGGGAGTCCCAAGGAGCGCTTAATGAGTAGGTGCGGAGTCCGGGCCCAGGGGAGGGCAGCAGCCGATGCCGAGGAGAGGATCCGAGAGCAGACAGCCTGGCACACCTCTCGAAACAGCGCAGGGTCACATTCGAGAGTCCAGGCTTCACCGTCACCAATAGCTGGGTTTGAATCTCTGCTCTGTTTTTGTATTGCGAGACCCTGGACAAAGTATCTGAGCCTCACGTTTTATCCTCACCATGGATATTAAGTACGGTGGGATAGTCGGGAGGAGAAACTCAGATGTGCAGGCAGGTCTAGGGCGCCCTTTCTAACCGCGGTACACGCCAGTGAGTTCAAGCTCTGTAAATGCCATCAGCTTCCTCGCCAAGCGTAGTCTTCTTGCTGCCCCTCGTTCCTTCATGGATGCTTGGTCCCACTTTCCATTCATTAAAAGAGGGAAGAAAAATGAAGCTGGCAAAAATTCAAGCTGGACTCTCCATAACCTTGGCCTTGGAGGGTGTTTCTTTAAAGGAAAAGACAGGAAGCCTTATGCTTTGCTTTATTTAAAAATACAGAGGTGTTGAACAATTCACAGTGGCTATTGCCAACGGGCCGACACAGAGTGTATCTCAGCGGCCACCGCTGCCCAGCTCAGCCTAGTAAGAGCAGCAGTGTCGGCCCTGACCACCACCAAATGAGTCGAGAACGCCCGTTCACCAGGCACACTCTTCCACAGGACAGCATGGGAAAGGGGATATGTGCGCTAGCTCAGGGGCCCAGGAGGTGAGGTCCCGTTTCAGGAGTTTCGCGGGAACTATGCAGCAGGTTTGTAGGAAAGAGAGGGGCTAAACAAGCTGCGAGAGAGTGAGAGCGGAGTTCAGTGGAGGACCAAGGAGTACAAGTTGAGGAGACACGAAGAGACTCTCCTTAAAAAGCAGTAACCGGGGCTGGCACTGCGGCGCTGGCATCCCATCTGGGCGCCGGTTGCGGTCCTGGCTGCTCCTCTTCCAACCCAGCTCTCTGCTGTGGCCTGGGAAAGCAGTGGAGGATGGCCCAAGTGCTTGGGCCCCTGCACCCACGTGGGAGACCTGGAGGAAGCTCCTGGCTTCGGATCGGCGCAGCTCCGGCTGTTGCAGCCAACTGAGGAGTGAACCAGCAGATGGAAGACCTCTCTCTCTGTCCTTCCCTCTAACTGTCTATAACTCTACCTCTCAAATAAATAAATAAATAAATAAAAGCAGTAACTGCTGTGAGTGAGACCGACGCCAAATACGCAGATGGAAACAGAACTTGAGAAGGGCGCCGTCTCCGGGATTCCTGGCTCGTGGTCCCCTTCCCGTGCTGTTCCGCTGAACACCCAACTCTTCAAAGCAGGGACAGTCCCAGTTTCTGACACTGCTCCAGGAAGCACAGATGGTTGCTGGTCTCTGCCACACTGTCGAGAGCTTGGACCTCAGCTTCTTTTACCCCATCTTTGATGTCATTTGCGTGATTACAATTAAAACCCAAGCTTGTCTTTACTCATCCCTTTCAAATCATCATCGCAGCCTAAAGACTCTCTTCTCTTTTTTAAAATATTTATTTATTTATTTAAAAGGCAGAGAGAGAGAGAGAGAGAGAGAGAGAGAGAGAATCTTCCATCCACTGGTTCATTCCCCAGATGGTCACAATGGCCAGAGCTGGGCCAATCCAAAGTCAGGACCCAGGAGCTTCTTGCTGATCTCCCACGTGGGTACAGGAGCCCAAGCCGTTGGACCATCCTCCACTGCTTTCCCAGGCCACAGCAGAGAGCTGGATTGGAAGTGGCGCAGCCGGGACTCGAACCGGTGCCCATATGGGATGCCGGTGCTTCAGGCCAGGGCGTTAACCCACTGCACCACAGCACCAGCCGTCAGACTGTCCTCTAATTGCAAATACCTGCAGAGCAATGAACCAACAGATAGGCAATAGAATGCCCCACCCATGACTTTGGCTGCAAAGAAAGGGCAAGTGTTGAGGTACAAAAATTAGGGCCCCGTAAGGCCTGCAGAAGGGAGTGATGGGGCTCATCATTAAAACGCCTTAGAGTTTAGGGACAGAGAGGAGACTGGGATGGGGCTTTAGGGTAGGATCTCCCAGTGCAGGTGGGTCTTAGATTTGAACAGAAATCCTCGGAGGTGGGGGCGGAAACAGGGAGTCGAGATGCTCATTCCTCTCTAACACTAGTGGGTGGGGACGCCCTGATGCTCTGGGCTCCTAACCAGGAGGCGCCAGGGAGGAGGAAGCTGAACCTTCCCAGTTCATTTTGAAATCTTGACTTTCGCATCACAAGAGAAGTCACTCCCAGAACTCACCAGTGAAGTGGGTCCCAGCTCTCTGATCCAGGACTTTCAGCTTGCAGTGTGATCTTTCTCCTTTATCGAAACTTACCTTCGGCTCACTCCTCCTATACAAGTGGCCCTTGTTCCACTAACCCTAGAATACACTGCACCATTGTGCTGATGAAAGGCTGTACAACTTAGGGTCTAGGGGGCCTTGACCTCTGAGCTGCAAGGACTATGAATGACTAACGCTGCACGGATCCACCAAACTCTGATCAAATATCCACGCCCTGATTTCCTGCTCAGAACTCAGAAGGAGGCAAAAGCTAAGAACGAAACCTGGTTCAGCCTCCCCAGGGCCACACAAAGGCGACGAGGGCGCAGGTTCCCTGGCAGCCCCTTGAGCTTTCTGAGTTCTGAGTATTACTCCAGCCTGTTTGGGCCTTTCCCTTACCTGTTCTGCGTTCCAGAGTACATCTTGGAACCTCCACCCTGCAGATCGGAACCTGAGAATTGTAACAGATTCTGCACGCTGCAGGAAGACTGCCTGAATGGGCTGCAATGCTGCTCGGCCTTCTGTGGGATAGTCTGCTCACTGAACAGAACTCCAAAGCGCCGAAGGTAATGGATGGATTTCTGATGCCAGTCCCGAGCCTAGAGCCACTGGTGGGAGACCGACGGGAGATCTCTTAGCAACCACTAGGGTCAATCCCTCTCTGTTTCGTTTTGATGTTGGTGACCAGGATGCCAAATATCCAATAATTCTCCTTCTCTTCCCCAAGGAGAGTTTCCCTGAGAGTCCTGATTGGAGGAGCACTCCCCCATTCCCAAAATACAAGGCGCTTCTCTCCGCATGACCACACCTGTGAATCGCTGACCACACCCACAAACGCCTCCTTCCACCGCCCGCCCCTGTCCCAGAACCCACTTCACTGCAGGAGCTGGGACACAGTATCTGGGGCTGCAAATGTCACCAAAACCCCAAAGCCAAACGTGTTCTCCATCTTTGCTCACCCACCTTTCTCCAGACACCATCAGTTGGCCCCCACCCTGGAAATTCAGCACAAGGGAATCTTGGGAGAAGCCCCAGGACAGAGGGAGGATTTTGGGGGGACTGAGAAGACATCGGGTTTCTAATTCTGTTTTGCAGCTGTCTTTCTACGACCTTGAATAAGACAGCTTTTCTTATCTCTTCCTCATGAGTAAAAGGGAGACCCTGGTTTTTCCTGCTTTGCAAGGCCTCGGAAGAAGCAGGAAGCTCCACCTGGGAGTTTCTTGAGGGAATCTTAATGGAATCCTTCCCTGCTGTCTTCCCCGCCCTGCACGGAAAACCCAGCACACACAACACTGGGAAGAACAGTGAAGTAGGACGGCTGAAGCCGAGTGCCTGGGATCAAATCCCAGCTCTGCCACTTGGAAACTGGGTGCCCTCACACAAGGACCTCTCTCTAAGCATCAGCTTCGTCATCTTTAAGACTGGAACAGTAATGTTGAGACTGAAATAGACAATCCATGTAACCGCTCAGTAAGCTGTAGTGAACAGGCATCCACTGGGGAGACAAGCCCCTGTAATTAAACCTCACATCCTTTGAGGCTCCTCACTGGAACGTAGGAGCGTCAGCATGAACCTCGTGGTCACTGGGTTCACTGAGGTCCCACCGTCCCTGTGACAGAACTCGGCTTCATGCTCTGGTTTCAGTGGCGACAGTCATGGTGAGCCGAACTTATCTCTGAGAATAACACTTTGCCAGGTAATACTTGAAAATATTTTTCTCCTACAGAAACAAGGCCAAGAAAGTAAAAAAAAAAAAAATACCCTGCTAACCCCTGAGGCATAGCTCCCGGAGCAATTGGTAAGTCTGGGGTCTGGCCTGGGTTCAGGGGGCTCAGGGTCTCAGGGATGCTCCTGTCCCTCCTTAACCTCCGCAGGACCACCTGTTCCCACGAGGTCAAAATAGCCTTAACGGAGGCCTCCTCCATGAATCTCCCCCCACCCAGAGGCTACCTTTGTGCTGCCGGGGGCAGGGTGCTCCTGATAGATTCTCAATGCAGAGCAACCCAAGGAGGTGGCGTCATGGCCCAAGGCGAGAACAGGACGCTCAGATCGGGGAACGAGCTATTCCAGCCTCCGGATTCAGTGCCCTGGGCAGGGAGTCAGGCTGAGCCCTTCACGCTTGGTGTGGCTTTGGCCTCGTGCTGCACCTCTCTGTGACAATCAAGATCCTCCTGTGAAAGGGGAAGAGAACACGCATGCCTTCGGGTATTGTGAGGTTAGCGTAAGGCCACACGGATGGAAGAATTTGGTCACTGCACAGGCCCTGCCAAGGCTAGAAGCTGCCAGCAACTCACTCACAACATCACCCTTTCTGGGTTTCACTTTTTCTCTCTTTTTATTATTTATTTATTTATTTGACAGGTACAGTTATAGACAGTGAGAGATAGAGAGAAAGGTCTTCCTTCTGTTGGTTCACCCCCCAATTGGCCACAATGGCCGGAGCTGTGCTGATCCGAAGCCAGGAGCCAGGTGCTTCCTCCCGGTCTCCCATGCGGGTGCAGGGACCCAAGCACCTGGGCCATCCTCCACTGCCCTCCCGGGCCACAGCAGAGAGCTGGACTGGAAGAGAAGCAACCAGGACTAGAACCCCGTGCCCATGTGGGATGCCGGTGCCGCAGGTGGAGGATTAACCAAGTGCGCCACGGCGCCGGCCCTCACTTTTTCTCTCTTAAAAGGAAGGGCGAGGCCCCTGTTATGATGTTGCTGATGTTACAAGAATGGTTAACTGGAGTCCTCTGGAACTCCACCACCAAAACAAAAATAGCATTCGTTATTTGGCATATCCTGCTATTCTGTTCCAGAGTGTTCGGAAGGCAGTTAGCATGGGGCCTGCTCCTGGTCCTCTGCCATTTCCAGCATCCTCGGGTCAGAATGGGGGTCTTTCAGCTTGGGCTCCTTTCACTTGCCCTGTGGAAAAGAACACGGTAAGCGGAGGCAGGTGGAAGTGGTGCAACGATGTAGGTGCGTTAACTCCGGCTTCACCCTTGCCCAGGCCCTGGTTGGTCCACCACACTCACTTCCTGCTGTGCCTTGGACATGACTGACTGCTCATGCCACACGCTGGCCGTCAATGGAGGTGTCAGCATTTAGATGACCCAGGGCCCCTGCAACGGGACACAGAACCCATGGGAAGACCCCAGCACTCAGACCCTGCTCAGAGTCTAGTTAAGGTAGTTGGTGCCACTATATTTTTATGGTAGTGTCAGAGTGTGATGGCTAAGGGGCACACAAGGCTTGGTGAGCTCCACTCCAGTGTGTTGCCCAAAGAGACAAGACTTCATCTTGGACGTGCAGAAAAACATTGTCATATAGCTGAGGCGTCCTCCATGGATGGTCATCTTGTGGTTGACTTGAGACTGTACTCTTTCATGTAGCATGTTTTCTGTCATGTATGTTAGAGCCATGCGTCTAGTGTGCAGTGCATCCTCTGCCCAGTGGATCCCTTGGATGGACCTCTGGCGTGGGCTGAGAGGATTGAGTGAGTGCGGGGAGAGCCTGAGAAACCACTGACCTTGCTATCAAAAAATACAGTGTGGGCCAGCACCACGGCTCACTTGGCTAATCCTCCACCTGTGGCGCCGGCACCCCGGGTTCTAGTCCCGGTTGGGGCGCTGGAGTCTGTCCCGGTTGCCCCTCTTCCAGGCCAGCTCTCTGCTGTGGCCTGGGAGTACAGTGGAGGATGGCCCAAGTCCTTGGGCCCTGCACCCCATGGGAGACCGGGAGGAAACACCTGGCTCCTGGCTTCGGATCGGCGCAGCACACCAGCCATAGCAGCCATTTGGGGGATGAACCAACGGCAAAGGAAGACCTTTCTCTCTGTCTCTCTCTCTCACTGTCTAAATCTGCCTATCAAAAAAAATTAAAAAAAAAAAAAACTGCAGCGTGGAACTCTCTGTGACCTCCTGGCTTGAAGAACACAACATCCCAGGCAGGCTTGTCATGGTCTTCCACTAAGCCCTGGGCTCTGGAGGACGCGGTCGAGAGCTCCCAGCTTTTTAACAGGAGCTAATATTTTAGACCACAACGCCTTCCTCTCCTGTAGTCCTCAGAGTGACTGTAATACCAGCGCACACACAAAGCACCTGAGGAGGGGCCGGCCCTGTGGCTCAGGGGGTTAAAGCTAAAGGTTCAAATTAAATTTAAAATTCCATGGAACCATAGCCAATTCACTCCAGACACGATCAGTCATTCTGTCTTGGCACAGAGCCCTATCTTTCCACTACCATAACCTTTATCACACTGTACTCTAATTGTTAAGTTAGTATTTTCTCTGTCTAGAGTATATGAGTTGCATAAAAGCAGAACTGGGTCTGATTCCTTTGTCATAAAATCCTAACACCTAGCACGATGCCTGTGGATACAATCCAGACTTTTCAAACAGGGACGAGAAGAGAGTGCAAGGAGTAGACTGATCCCAACGCCTAATGAGTTACTCTCCACTGAGCGGTCCCAGGCCCCTCAGATATCTGCTGCCCACTTCACTGCTGGAGTCAGCCTCATTTTATAAATTATAAAAGTTGTGATGTTAATCCTCAAAGTAGGCACTGGATTTTTTAAAGATTTATCTATTTGAAAGGCAGAGCTGCAGAGAGAGTGGGACAGACAGAGAAACAGAGAGATCGTCCATCAGTATGTTCACTGCCCAAATGGCCACAACCACCAAGTGTGGGCCAGGCCAAAGCCAGGGGCCCAGAACTCCATCTCAATCTCCCATATGGGTGGTAGGGGCTTCCCAAGTATGTCAGCAGGAAGCTGGACCAGAGGCAGAGTAGCCAAAATTCTGATACGGGATACCAGTGTAACAACTGGTGATCTAACACACTGAGCCACAATGTCAACCCCTAAATTATTTGTTAAAGCTAATTTATATTTACTTATGGAAACGTACTAAAAACGGGCAAGAGGCCAGCACTGTGGCACAACACGCTAAAGCCTATGCCTGCAGTGCTGGCATCCCATATGGGCACCAGTTCAAAGTCCCAGCTGCTCCACTTCCAATCCAGCTCCCTGCTAATGAGCCTGGGAAAGCGGTGGAAGACGGCCCAAGCACCTGGGTCCCTGCACTCATGTGGGAGACCCAGAGGATGCTCCTGGCTCCTGCTTGGGATCAGCCCAACTCCAGCAGTTGGGCCATTTGGGGAGTGAACCAGAGGATGAAAGACCTCTCTCTCTCTCTCTCTCTCTCTCTCTCTCTACCTCTACCTCTCTCCATAGCTGTCTTTCAAATAAAATAAATTTAAAAAAAAAGCAAGTGAAAAAAAGGAAGCATGAAAGTGTCTGCTCCAATGGGGCAGCAGCGCGGAGTGAAAGCTGCAGATCGTGGCTACTCTGGGATTCCGTCCAGCTCTGCCCTACTAAACTGGTGCTGCTGGGCATTGCCTAAGCTCTCAAGGCCCCCATCTGTCTACCTGTAAAATTTAGACGAAGAACATCTAGCCCTCACCTGTGTCATACAGAGGACATGGCTGGCACATGCAAAGCACAAATCAGGTTGCTGCCAGAGAATCTGGAAAGAATGCCATTATTATCACTACACCTTGCCAATCCTTCTTCGATCTGAAGTCCTTGTTGCATAAAGGGATCACAGTGTGCACTCCATTGCAGACTCTGGTTGGTCGGTTTGTTTTTAATTTCTCTAGGTTCCATAAAATTAACTCAAGTTAATGGAGAACACTGCATCCTTGGAAGTAATGTGACCCCACCCCATGCTGCGGAACAGCTGCCAACAGTGATTTCCAACCCCCGGCTAAGTCCCCAGCACCTTTGGAAGGCTTCGCTGCCCTCTACAATTCTCAAGTGAATGGGGCCAACCTGCAACTGTGTGGCCGCCCACTCCCACAATTCTACTTTTCTTCTACTTCCTTTCCCTCTACAAGACGTCCTGGTGACCCCTGACCCAGAGCAGGAAGTACTGGCCAGAAAAATCTGCAGGACCCTTTACTGACCAGCTGTGGTTCAAACTGACCTGGGTAAGGCAGACCTCTCACGTAGCTTAGCCACTCAAACTGCAGCTGTCACCGTCTTGATAATCCGAGCTTGATCTGTCCTATACTGGAGGCACCAGTCACAAGAAGCTATTTAAATGTAAAGTTGTGTTAATTACAATAAAATAAAATACTCAGAGGCCAGCACCATGGAGCAGCCGGTTAAGTTGCCTTTTGCAATGCCGGCATCCCATATTGGAGTGCTGACTTGAATCCAGGCTGTTCATGCTGACCTCGCTTCCTGCTAACATGCCTGGGAAAGCAGTGGAGGATGACCCAACTGCTTGGAACCCTGCCTTCCTGGCCTCAACCTGGCTCAGACCTGGCTGTTGAAGCCATTTAGGGAGTGAACCACAGATACAAGGTTTCTCTCTCTCTCTCTCTCTCTCTCTCTCTCTCTCTTGCTACCTTTCAAATAAATTAATCTTTTTTAAAATTTTAAAAATAAAATATCCAATTGGCTCCTCGGTCTTCCTAGTCATTTCCTATGTTCAATAACCACATGCTGCTGCCGACAGCTGCTGTTACACATCACGAACACAGAACACTTCCATCACACAGACGCTCTCATACAAAGTAGCGCCGCAAGCTCTATAAAGCCGTTATCCAATTAATGACGGCTAATCAAAGACCATGATTGCATAGATTTTTAAAAAGATTTATTTATTTATTTATTCAGTTATTTGAAAGGGGGGTGAGAGAGAGGGAAAGAGAGAGAGAGAGAGACTCTTCCATCTGCTGGTTCACTCCCAAATGGTAGGCCAGGCCAAAACCAGAAGCCAGAGAACTCCAGCCTTGTCCCCCACCAAGGTGCAGGGGCCCGAGTACGTGGCCCATCTTCCACTCCCTTCGCAAGCACATTAGCAGGAATCTGGGTCAGAAGCAGAGCAGGTGGAACTTGAACCAGCACTCTGATATGGGACACTAGTATCACAAGTGGGGGCTTAACCCACTATATAACACTGGCCCCTACAGAGAACTTCACAAGGGTTTAATACTATAGAAATTTCATATATATATATATACACACTCTATTAGCGTTTAGGTCCAATTATTTGTGAAAGAAATAAAATTCATATATATATATATATATGTATGAAGAATATGTTTGAAACTTGTACTATAGAGATAATACAAGAGTATAATACAGGGGGCTGTGGGGAGCAACCCGGACTAGACTAAGTTACTGGAATTAAGACTTATTCTATGCATCTGCTCTCCCACAATATGGCACTGGGAGAGAAGAAAACAGCTTCTACACAGCTGCCTCCAGTTCAGCCAATAAACTGTAGGACTTGCTCCTGATTGGAGGAGAGCAGCGTACTCGGCGTGTGGGCAGCCGAGTTGGGATTGGCAGAGGAGGACTATAAAGGAGGAGAGAGACGGCATGCACCAGGAACATCTAAGGGGAACACCTAAGGGGAACACCTGTGCAGCCCCCGAGAGAGCCGGCCGGCGGTGTGCCGCTCCCCTGCGGAAGTGGGGAAAGTGGCCAGGGGGAACCGCCCTTCCACGGAGGTGGAAGGGACAGTAGCCAACCCGGGAAGAACCAGCAGCAAACCCGGGGAGGGCCGAGCAGACGAAAGAACAGCGCGGGGTCCTGTGTCGTTCCTCCACGAAGAGGGGGAGCGACATAATGGTGCCGTGACTCGGATATGAAGCCTAGGCAGGGCTTAGTGTTGTTCCTCCATGAAGAGGGGGAGCGACATAATGGTGCCGTGACTCAGATAGGAAACTTAGGAGGGAAGAAACGGGAAGAACCAGCAGCAAACCTGGGGAGGGCCGAGCAGACGAAAGAACAGCGCGGGGTCCTGTGTCGTTCCTCCACGAAGAGGGGGAGCGACATAATGGTGCCGTGACTCGGATATGAAGCCTAGGCAGGGCTTAGTGTTGTTCCTCCATGAAGAGGGGGAGCGACATAATGGTGCCGTGACTCAGATAGGAAACTTAGGAGGGAAGAAACGGGAAGAACCAGCAGCAAACCTGGGGAGGGCCGAGCAGACGAAAGAACAGCGCAGGGTCCTGTGTCGTTCCTCCACGAAGAGGGGGAGTGACATAATGGTGCCGTGACTCGGATATGAAGCCTAGGCAGGGCTTAGTGTCGTTCCCCCACGAAGAGGGGGAGCGACAGGGGGCCAGCGCTATGGCATAGCAGGTAAAGCTGCCGCCTATAGTGCTGACATCCCATATGGGCACCAGTTCAAGGCCCAGCAGCTCCACTTCTGATCCAGCTCTCTGCTATGGCCTGGGAAAGCAGAAGAAGATGGCCCAAGTCCTTAGGCCCCTGCACCCACATGGGAGACTGGGAAGAAGCTCCTGGCTCCCAGCTTCAGATCAGCCCAGCTCCGGCCATTGTGGCCATTTGGGGAGTGAACCAGCAGATGGAAGACTTTTCTTTCTGTTTCTCTCTCTCTGTCTCTGTATAATTCTACCTCTCAAGTAAATAAATACAATATTTAAAAAGAGAGAGACTGGGAAAATGGGAATCTCCTATTTTGTAGGCACTCACCATATGGATTTTCCAACAGAAGGGACAGGAATGGGCCATGCTCCTGGAGGGTCTGGTGGGGATTGGACCTGCAGGACCTGTGGGCATCACATCAAGCAAAGATCACACTGAGAGAGTATGCTGATGAAATAATTATATGGATAATCATGTTCACCAGTATTATTTTTGAATATAAAATTTTTAAAATATTTTTTAAGATTTATTTTTTGAAAGTCAGAGTTACACAGAGAGATGAGAGGCAGGCAGGCAGGGAGGGAGGAAGAAAGGGAGAGAGAGAGAGAGAAAGAGAGAGACATCTTCCATCCAATGGTTCACTCCCCAACTGGCCACAATGGCTGGAGCTATGCCAATCTGAAACCTGGAGCCAGGAGCTTCCTCCAGGTCTCCCATGCAAGTGCAGGGGCCCAAGCACTTGGGCCATCTTCCACTGCTATCCCAGGCCATAGCAGAGAACTGGATTGGAAGTAGAGCAGCCAGGTCTTGAACCAGTGCCCATACAGGATGCCGGCACTTCAGGCCAGGGCATTAACCCACTGTGCCACAGTGCCGACCCCTCAAATATTTTTTTAAGATTTATTTTATTTTATCTGAAAGGCAGAGTTACAGAGAGAGAGGGAGAGACAGAGAGACTAAGAGATCCTCTACCTGCTGGTTCACTCCCCAAATGGCCTCAGTGCTGCGGCTGGGTCAGGCCAAAGCCAGGGCCTGGAACTCCATCTGGGTCTCCCATGTGTGTGACACGGGCCCAAGTACTTGGTCCACCTTTGCTTCTTTCCCAGGTGCATTAGCAGAGAGCTGGGTACAAAGTGGAGCAGCTGGGACTCAGAATAAGTACTCATATGGGATGCTAGTATCACAGGCAGTGGCTTAACCCACTGCACCACAACACCAGCCCCATGAAACCATTTTAATATTCGGCAATAGGACACCATTGGGTGAAGAATGACATGCCCTGGGTATAAAGCATCTATGTGTGACTGCTGTGAAATGTCTCAGATTCTTGCGGAGACGTCAAAGCTAGAAACAATCTTCAATGAATGCCCATCTGTTTGAAAGAGAAGTATGGAATACACTCCAGGAGTGTTCAGCAGTGGCCGGAGTGGTGCAACAGCCATCGCTTACCTCTAGTCTAAGAAAATGTTCGTGTTTTGTTTCCAGTAGGGGTACTCACGGAGATGCCTTATGGAAGGGATGCCATGGTGACAGAGTGCTTGTTCCCCTCCATAAAATCATGCAAGGGTTTTAGGAGGCTCAGCCATTCACAAGGGAGTGAGGTCCTCGGCCAAAGGGCTGGATGCCATCCCTGCCCCGTGCTCAGGACACCAGAACTGAATTAGTGCAAGGCCCCCGCCATGTTGCTGTCCAAGCAGCACGCGGAAGAGTGCTGGGAGGAGATCGAGATGTGTCCCTGAGACCAGTAATCGTGGAGACTTATCCAGAGGAAGAGGAGCAGTGGCAAACGTCTTCTCTTCCAGAATCAGGAAGGTCAAAGATGCGAGGAAATAGAGACACCTAGAGGGGACTTCTAGAAAGAATTTCAGCAAGAGAGCTGCAAGCTCTGGAGTCACTGAGTGTGCTGCCAGGGAGAGAAGGAGTTACATGAGAATACCTCACAGCCGGCGCCGTGGCTCACTAGGCTAATCCTCCACCAGCAGCGCTGGCACACCGGGTTCTAGTCCCCATCCGGGCACCGGATTCTGTCCTGGTTGCTCCTCTTCCAGTCCAGTCATAGCGGCCATTTTGGGGTGAACCAACGGAAAGGGAAGACCTTTCTCTCTGTCTCTCTCTCACTGTCTAACTCTGCCTGTCAAAGAAAAAAAAAAAAAAGAAAGAAAGAATACCACCTCACTTCATTAGGGAGTGCTGCCGCCTGGAAGAGAGAATTGTCCTTTTGGTACGTGCTTTGGCACGGATTTGCCTTGAAGAGGATACACCAAGTATCTTCCCAAGGCCCATTAGCCCAAAACTCCTAGTATACTCCATCTTTTTTTTTTCTGAAGATTTTTTTTACTTATCTGAAAGAGTTACAGAGAGAGGTAGAGACAGAAAGAGAGGTCTTCCATCTGCTGGTTCACTCCCCAGATGGCCGCAATGGCCGGAGCTGCGCCGATCCAAAGCCAGGAGTCAGGAGTTTCCTCCAGGTTTCCCACATAGGTGCAGGGGCCCAAGGACTTGGGCCATCCTCTACTGCTTTCCCAGGCCACAGCAGAGAGCTGGATCAGAAGAGGAACATCTGGAACTAGAACTGACGCCCATATAGGGATGCTGGCACTTCAGGCTTCACTGTGCCACAGCGCTGGTCCCAATACCCCATCTGTCTTAACACAGATCTTTCTTCTAATGAGCTAAGAACATTCACTACCTATAACCATATGATCAATCAGTTTGGTTTTATTAGCATTCCAAGTGGAACACCTTCACCAAACATCATGAAAATGGTTACCCGGGTTATGGGATAAGGCTTCCAGTTGGCCATTTAGGACTCTATATTTCCTTGGACAAATAGACAAAATGAATAGGCATTGTTCTGTTGGCTGTAAGGATCAATCATCATTACAAAACAGCAAAAAGCCTTCCAAACAATGGGGGAAGAAATGAGGCTACAACACAGGACCTTCAAGAGCATCAAGTCCCGCGTAACAGCAGAGTCCAGCAACCCAGAGAGGCGCGCCATTCGGAACTCACGCGGTTCATATGCCTCAGAGAGAGCACTTAGCACGGCTGGTGCGACTGCCAGTTGGTACAACCTTGATAAAAACAGCATAAAAATAGATCCGCCACAACCGAGCTACCCTGCTCCTGGGAGCACATGCAGAGGAGACGGACCGGCACGTGACCGCGTTCCCTGCACTCCCATGTTTGCAGCAGCTCAGGTCACATCAGCAAGGGTATGGGGCCAACCTGGCTGGCCATCCACTGATGACTGGATAAAGACAACGTGGGAGAAACATCACTCAGCCATAAGAAAGAATGAAATCCTGACATCTGCAACAAGGCAAACATGGTTTCCCTTATTTGTGGAAGTTAACATATATAAAGAGAGAACAAAAATTGTGTGGATGCCATATCATGTGATATAAGTTAAAAATATTACCTCACTGAAACATACCATGTAAATGGTAATATACCTTCTTTCATCATGCTATCATTATCATGAGTCCCTCACTTTGTGATATTAACATCTGTCTTAAAGAAAAATAATATATATGTGTGTGTGTAATGTCTACATTTAAGGTGAATATGGGAAATTGTTAGAAATTGTTACATTTGGGGCTGGAGCAGTGACGTATCAGGTAAAGCCGCTGCCTTCAGTGCTGGCATCCCATATGGGTGCAGATTTGAGTCCCGGCTGCTCCACTTCTGATCCAGCTCTCTCCTAATGCACCTTGGAAAGCAGTGCAGGATGGCCCAAGTGCTTGGGTCCCTGCACCCACATGGGAGACCTGGATGAAGCTCCAGGCTCCTGGCTTCAGATCAGCACGGCTCTGGCAGTTGTGGCCATATGGGGAGTGAACCAGTGCATGGAAGACCTCTCTCTGTCTAACTCTTTGTAACTCTATCTTTCAAATTAATAAATCTTTTTTAAAAAAGCATTAGAGGTATTCATTTTAAGTCAACAAGAAGTGTAGGGATGTCCACTGCTTTGTCTCTATTCTACAATATACTTGAGGTCCCAGCTACAGAGATAAGTTAGAAAACAGATTTAAAGCATTCATGACTGGAAAAAAAAAAAAAAAACACACACACACACACACACACACAAAATAGGCCGGCGCCATGGCTCACTTGGCTAATCCTCCGCCTGCGGCACTGGCACACCAGGTTCTAGTCCTGTTGGGGCGCTGGTTCTGTCCTGGTTGCTCCTCTTCCAGTCCAGCTCTCTGCTGTGGACTGGGAAGGCAGTGGAGGATGGCCCAAGTGCTTGGGTCCCTGCATCTGCATGGGAGACCGGGAGGAAGCACCCGGCTCCTGGCTTCGGATCGGCACAGCGCCGGCCATAGTGGTCATTTGGGGAATGAACCAACGGAAGGAAGACCTTTCTCTCTGTCTCTCTCTCACTGTCTAACTCTGCCTGTCAAAAAAAAAAAAAAAAAAAAAACACAAAATGGTCATGAGTTACAGATGATAAATGACTACATAAAAGGCAAATGGGATCACACATAAATTATTGGAAATAATAAGAGTATAGGAGTGTGGCTGGATATAAAATTAGTACAGAACATGAATTGCTTTCTTCTATATCAGGAATATACAAAGAGAAATATAATATTTAGGGATACCAGTTACAGTAATATTAAAATATAAGCAATATTATACCACTTGCATGAAAAATATCACAAAGCTTTTTTGACAGATATTAATGAGGACCAAAAATAGAAAACTATATACCAAAGATTCTATTGTAAGAATGTTATTCTCAAATTGCTCTGTAGATGCAATGCAATTCAAATAAATATCTGGATACAGTTTTTAAAGAACTTGACACTCTAAAATTGATTTAAAAATGCAAACTCCTAAGATGATAGATAATTAAAGAGATGACACATGGCCCTGGAGCAGGGATATGCAGTGGAGTGGCTCAGAAACAATCTCACATACCACAGGCAAAGTTGTTACAGGACTGAATAAAAGAGGAGCTTATCAGTGAATGGTCTGGGACATTTGGAAAATTGTTTTACAAAAGAAAAAAATCAACATCACATGGTTTAAGGTATAAATGTGAGTCAAGGAGCCAGCATTGTGGCAGAGTGGGCTGAGCTGCTGTACCCCAAGTGAACACCAGTGCAAGTCTCAGCTGCCCCACTCCCTATCCAGCCCCCTGCTGAGGCCTGAGAAAGCAGGGGAGATGCTGCCACCCACATGAGAGACCAGGACGGAGTTCCAGGCTTCAGCCTTCAGCAGGACGCAGCCAGAGCTGCTGAGGCCACTGGGGAGTGAACCAATAGATGGAAGACCTCTCTCTCTCTGTCTCTCCTTCTCTCTCTGTAACTCTGCCTTTCAAATAAATAAATAAATTTTTTAGTGTGAATCAAAATTTTAAAACTTTTCAAGCAAAACGGAATCCAGCTGTCCCCATTTTCCTAGATGGTAGTGTAGTGACTAAGAACATAAACTCCAAATTCAAATCTTGTCTCCATTGTGAGCAACTTTGTACATACAACTAAACCTCTGCCAGTTTTTTCATCTGCAAGTAATTATCATGAAAGTACCTACCTCAGGGGTACATGTTAGAATTGAGTGAGTTAGCATATGCAAATTGCTTAAAATTCCTCCTGGCCTGAAGAAACTCTTATAGGAGTTACAGTTAACCCTGTTACTATTATTGTTAAGCTTGTGCCATTCTTCTTGATGTACCAAGATCAGTTTCTTTGCAATGGAAGGCGAGAGAAGGGAAAGGAAGCGACTATTTTGTTAATTCCTTGCTCTGTTGGTTCTAGCCTCCATGGTTAAACGTATGCAGAAACTTTGACTTATTAAGTTTCTACATTTTCTAGATGAACATGGGACTCACTATCAGGGGTCTAATCAGTTTGGGACCTTCACCTTCATGCCTGGGTACCCAAGCAGTCAGTGTTCAACTCCATGCCTAGTAATGCCCAGTCCTGGCCCTAGGGGTAGGTGGGCTCAGCCCTCTCAAGTATCAAGCCCAAAATATAACAGCAGTTGGTACCAAGACTCTCCTACCTGCTGCCTGCTGCATCATGAAGCTTGCTGCGCAGGAATGCCTGCTAGGGATCTTCATCTTCTGCTCACTGACTGCCCCGTCGTTGGGCGGTATTAAAGCAATTCTTGAGAGCATATGTGGAGAACTCAAAGGTATGAAGCTAAGGCAGAAACTAAATGCAAAGATCACTTATGATTGCGAGAGAACATGTTGGAAATGATTGCGTCATCTGGGTGGACCTGGATCACCCCCGTATCCATACTCGTGGACCCTTAGGGTATTGACTGAGGGAATTACTGACACCGGAGGTCCTCTGTATGTGTGATGTTGAAAAAATTAGATCTGATACAGATAAGTCTTTTCCAGGTAAACAGGATCTTTTGTATAGTTGAAAATACTAGGAATATTTTATAAAAATTTTTAAGGCAGAGAGACACAAAGACAGATAGACCTCTTATCTACTGGTTCACTCCCCAAAAATGTTACAACAACCAGGGCAGAGTCAGGCCAAAACTGGGGTCCAGGAATTCAGTCCAGGTCTCCCACGTGGGAGGCAGGGTCTCAGCTTCCTGAACTATCACCTGTTGCCTCCAACGGCATGCATTAACAGAAAGCTGGAATCAGGAGCAGAGCAACACTCAAATCCAAGCACTCTGATACGGACTGTGGGCATCCCAGTGGTGCTTAACCACCACGCCAAATGCCCATCCCTAGTATTCTGAACTAGGAGTTTTGTGGTAAATTTCAAAGATCTAAGACTTTTCAAGACTATGTACTGGGATGAGAGAGAACATGATTGTAGACTGAGCAAACGGACTCATTTTCCGTATCTGGGCTCTGAGCACATAGAAAACACTTGTTTCTCTGTTGAGAAGCTCATAATATAAATGTGAAAGGCAATGGGACTTTCTTCCTTAGGCAGCGTGTACAGGCTCAGTGCTTCCAGTGTGGGAAGAAGCGGCACAGTCTACACCATGAATCAAATCCTCCAAACTCCAGCTGTGCCACTTAGCACATGTGTGCCCGTGAAGAAGTCACTCAATCATCTATTGTCTCTTTTTTTTTTTGACAGGCAGAGTGGACAGTGAGAGAGAGAGACAGAGAGAAAGGTCTTCCCTTGCCGTTGGTTCACCCTCCAATGGCCGCCACGGCTGGCACACTGCGGCCAGCGCACTGCACTGATCCAATGGCAGGAGCCAGGTGCTTTTCCTGGTCTCCCATGGGGTGCAGGGCCCAAGCACTTGGGCCATCCTCCACTGCACTCCTGGGCCATAGCAGAGAGCTGGCCTGGAAGAGGGGCAACCAGGACAGAATCCGGCGCCCCGACCGGGACTAGAACCTGGTGCGCCGGTGCCGCAAGGCGGAGGATTAGCCTAGTGAGCCGCGGCGCCGCCTCAATCACCTATTGTCTCTTAGCCTCAGTGTCTACATGTGTAGACACATGAATTTCTGTGAGTACAAAAGAAAATTATGCATGTAACTGCACTCAAGAGAGTAAGTTTTACCAGAGAGTAAATTCCAGACTAGCTGCTTGAGTAGGGTGGGAAACATCTGTTCGCTAGGTCGCCAGTACAACCATGACTGTGGCTGTTCCAACCACATACTACTCAAGTCTCACCAATAAAAACAGAATTTGCCTCCATGAAGGCAAGATGGGAAAAGCTGACAGGATGTGGGGTGAAAGAGCATCAGCTTCATGGCGATGCTTCTTGGTATATGTCCTGCTTTGAAAGAGCGTAGGCACAGTCACCTGACTCCTGAGATACAGGCAGTAGAGTGATTGTAGGAGACCTGAGGAGTACAGATTCTGCATCCCCTGTGGGCAGTTTAAAAAGCAAGGAAGATGCTTATGTGGAGGAGCCAACTGCACTTTTGTAAGCTGTAAGACACAAAATGTGGGGAGCCTCACCCCTTTGCACAAGCTAGCAATAGAACCCCCACTTCACGGCTCTCTCCTTCTCCAAGTTACTGCCCAGGACCACAACCTGGAGGGTAATCAACTTACCTTGTACAAGGGCAACCTTGCCTAACGACTCTAATTCCAAGAGAAAAATCAGATGTCTTGCAGGGACCTTAACTTTAGGGATGTTTCCAGACTGAAGTGAGGAGTCTTTCAGGTTCCATGAAGATAAGCCTTCCTTCTCAGTCCTAACCAACTCCCCTAATGCAATGGTAACTTCTCGTGCAGACCCCTGCAGATTGGATGTGCAACATGGGAGCTGCTATGAGATGCATTTTAGATATTTCTACAACAGAACTTCCAAAAGATGTGAATTTTTTGTGTACTCTGGCTGTGACGGCAACCTTAACAACTTCCAGCTTAAAATAGAATGTGACTTAGCCTGTGTTGAAGAATACAAAAAAAAGTAAGAAATCCAGCCTGTCCTGGGTCTTTTGGGGGAGGAAAAGGAAAGATTCTAATACCTCAGAATTGATCAGGAACAAACCCAGGCTTGTGCTGGGAAGAGGAATTAAAGGATTTAATAGTTGGATTGGATCTCAGGAGCATTTACTCATTTTGCAGTTAGAAAATCAGAAGCCCAGAGAGAAAACAAGAGCTACTACCTACTGAACAATTATCATTTGCCAGGTGCTTCATGAAGCAATTAACAAATATTGATACAACTTAAAATTAAAATAACCCTAAGATACCAAACCCAGTAGACGTAAATGACCAGCCCAAATTGTTATCAAATGGCATGGCAGGTTTTGAAAACAGATGTGATGGTCACCCAGGTCTCAACCATCTTACATACACACATCACCCAAACCAGACCTTTGTACCCCTGGACCTTAAAATCTCCATCACAACATCCGGTTTTATACAGTTAGCACCAATCCCACCCTCCACCATTTACAGACACTGGAACCAGAGGTCAATGGAGCCTACCAGAGATAAGGCGTGGCTGATTTCCAGGAAAGGACGGAGAGTATCCTTGGGAGTAATTCTAAAGCAGAAATCTTGTGTTGCTCATTTGGTATTCCCACTGAACCTTTGCAATGGTTGGCACCTAATAGGCAATTACTAAGTTTTCAGTGAAGGAAGAAGTAAGAAATTAATCAATGGAACAAGGGAAACATTGTAAAAGAAGGCATCCTCTAAGCTTACCCTAAGACGTGTGTAACCTATACTAGCCCATGGAGACGTTTCGAAACCTGTAACACAGATCTGTTTTGGTTTTGCTTGTATTTTTGTTTAAACAGGAAGAAATCATGAGAGGATGTGAACTCACAGAGTTGCTTGAGCGTCTGATGATACAAGAAAACATACACCATATGGGATGCCGGCACCACAGGTGGTGCTTAGCCTACTATGCCACAGCACTGGCCTCAACAGTGGATTTTTTTTTTTTTTTAAGAAAAGAAAAAAGAGCAGATAGACAAAACTAAAAGCTAATATTTTGAAAACTTAACAATAGAGATAAACCATTGGCAAACAAATTAAGTCAAAAAGGGAAATGTTCATCAACAGACGAATAAATAAACAATTGTAATATACCCACTCAAGAATGATGATTTAAAAATGGAAGTAGGGGCCAACGCTGTAGCGTAGTGGGTAAAGCCACCACCTGCAGTGCCAGCATCCCTTATGGGCACCATGCAAGTCCTGGCTACTCCACTTCCAATCCAGCTCCCTGGTATGGCCTGGGAAAGCAGCAGAAGATGGCCTAAGTCCTTGTGCCCCTTCACACATGTGGGAGACCTGAAAGAAGCTCCTGGCTCCTGGCTTCAGATCAGCGCAGCTCTGGCCATTGCAGCCATTTAGGGAGTGAACCAGTAGATGGAAGATCTCCCTCTCTCCCTCTGCCTCTGCCTCTGTAACTCTGCCTTTCAAATAAATAAATCTTAAAAAAAAAAAAAAAAAGAAATGGAAGTAAATGATCCAGAACTACTCAAAGAAACATGGATAAATATTGGAAACTTGATGTTTACTGAAAAAAGCACAAACACAAAAGCAGGATTCAGCAAACCTTCTACACAAAAGGCAGAATAGCAAACATTTTATGCTTTGCAATCCAAGAGACAAAAGCAAGGATATTATACAGGCACTTACATAAGAAGACATGAAAAAAGCTTTTCCCAAAAATTTATTAACACTTAAAAATAGTAACAGAATATTGATCATGGTAACACAAGTCTAATAATGAGTAGAAAAGAACTTACAGGTGGGGGGGGGGTCACATTTTGCTTAATTAGGATTCAAACTTGGTGTTCTTGATTGACCAAAATTGACTTCAGTTGCTGATCTGTAATGACACTTAGTGGATATTATCTTTGAAAATGTCTTTCCATACTTCCAACGATTTCTGACCCTGAGCACATTCATCACTTGGAAGGCATACGGGCGCCGGTTCTGGTCCCGGTTGCTCTTCTTCCAGCCCAGCTCTCTGCTGTGGCCCAGGAGGGCAGTGAAGGATGGCCCAGGTGCTTGGGCCCTGCACCCCATGGGAGACCAGGAGAAGCACCTGGCTCCTGGCTTTGGATCAGCACAGCTCCTTCCGTTGCAGCCATTTGGGGGGTGAACCATCAGATGGAAGACCTTTCTCTCTGTCTCTCTCTCACTGTCTGTAATTCTACCTGTCAAATAAATAAAAATAAAAATAAAAATAAAAGAAGGTTCTATTGGGTTCTCCTCTTGAAGGTGGCCTTTAACAATGTCATTATATTGCAATTTAATTACTTCTAATCTGAAGTTGGGTAGAAGTCCCTATCTTGCTTTTGGAAATATGCAAATTACATTTTTCTCCCTAACAAAACTTGGTGCTGGGGTCTGACATCACAGGGAAATCTACCTGGTGTCCTTCTATGGAATCTCTTTAGATTTTCTTTTATCTTTTATGAAACACAGTGTTGCATAAACCAAACTTCAGTGTAATTTCCTTCCTGAAAAGACATTTAGAACAATAAAGACTCTAGTGCAGCATAGTACTCTTTTATTTTTTTTGACAGGCAGAGTGGACAGTGAGAGAGAGAGACAGAGAGAAAGGTCTTCCTTTTTGCCGTTGGTTCACCCTCCAATGGCTGCCGCGGCCGCCGCGCTACAGCCGGCACACCGCACTGATCCGATGGCAGGAGCCAGGTACTTATCCTGGTCTCCCATAGGGTGCAGGGCCTAAGCACTTGGGCCATCCTCCACTGCACTCCCTGGCCACAGCAGAGAGCTGGCCTGGAAGAGGGGCAACCGGGACAGAATCCGGCACCCCGACCAGGACTAGAACCCGGTGTGCCGGTGCCGCAAGGCGGAGGATTAGCCTAGTGAGCCGCGGTGCCGGCCAGCATAGTACTTTTGAGAAACTGTCTGGAGATGAGGACTGGGAGACAATGGTTACCCAAAATCCATTCTACCCTCGGGCTCCTGGATTCCTCCTGAGATCCGAGTTATGCTCTAATGTATATCTCACTCAGTTCTTTTTTTTCTCTCTCTCTTTTTTTTTAACTTTTATTTAATGAATATAGATTTCCAAAGTACAGCTTATGGACTACATTGGCTTCTCCCCCCCACTCCCCGATGACTTCCCTCCCACCCACAACCCTCCCCTTTCCCGCTCTCTCTCCCCTTCCATTCATATCACGATTCATTTTCAATTTTCTATATATACAGAAGATCAGTTTAGTATACATTAAGTAAAGATTTCAACAGTTTGCACCCCCATAGAAACACAAAGTGAAAAATACTGTTTGAGTACTCGTTATAGCATTAAATCTCAATGTACAGCACATTAAGGACAGAGATCCTACATGAGGAATAAGTGCACAGTGACTCCTGTTGTTGACTTTACAAATTGACACTCCTGTTTATGGCATCAGTAATCTCCCTATGCTCCAGTCATGAGTTTCCAAGGCTATGGAAGCCCTCTGAGTTCTCCGATTCTTATCTTGTTTAGACAAGGTCATAGTCAAAGTGAAAGTTCTCTCCTCCCTTCAGAGAAATGTACCTCCTTCTTTGAAGACCTGTTCTTTCCACTGGGATCTCACTCACAGAGATCTTTCATTTAGGTGTTTTTTTGTTTTTGTTTTTGTTTGTTTTGCCAGAGTGTCTTGGCTTTCCATGCCTTATCTCACTCAATTCTAAAAACAAGGTGTTTGCATGCTCTCTGAGGCACTGAAAGAAATTTTTCATATGTCTCCATATTACAAAAAGACCGTTGAATATGCAGGTCTTATAATAGAACTTCACACACACTGCAGATAACACGAAAACATAAATTTACATGGAACCCAACAGGATTTCTCATTGCATTGAGATAGGCTATTCTGAGGACCTGATCACTCACAAAAGGGATATCCAGATGAAGATCTGAGTGAGGCCATCCACACAACAAAGCAATATGAAAACGACTGAGAGTGCATGCCAAAAAAAAACCCATAATAATACTGGGATAGACCTAATTCTGGTCTTTTTCTGATTCAGAGTTGACCATAAGAGAAACAACTGGTGGAGGGGGGTGGAGCTCTATTACAGGTGACAAAAAAAACTGATGCTGGTTTAAGAACTATCATGGTTCCAGGAAGTCCTGAGGAAAAGGATTTGAAAGGGTCGCAGCCACTGGGGCGTGAACCAGCAGACGGAAGACTTCTCTCTGTCTCTCCCTCTTTCTCTCTGTAACTCAGCGCTTCAGATAAACAGAGTAAATCTTTATATATATACATAAACATAAATAACAAATACTGATGAGGATGTGGAGAAAAGGGAGCCCTTATATAGTATTGGTGGGGATGCAAATTATTACAGCCGTTAACACAGAATGGTGTGGAGGTTCCTCAAATAACTAAAAATCATTCTATTAAGTGAAATAAGCCAGATGCAAGAAAACGAATACCACACGTTCTCTCTCACATATGGAAGCTTAAAAAATAACAATAATGATATATATCCAAATTTAAAATAGCGATTATTAGAAGCTGGGAAGGGAGGAGGGAGGAATGGAGGAGGAGTTTGGATAATGGGTGCTGAAACACACGAGGATGAACACAAGGGGCCCTGGCACTTGGCAGTACAGTGGGGTGACTGTCTTATGAGAATGTATTCTATTCTGCATAAATAACTGGAACAGAGTTGCTGACAGGCAGCAAACACAAAGAAAAGGAAACAGAAAGGCTTGTGGTCGGCTTACTCCGTGTATGTGTTGAAATGTTGCACTGTACTACTTAAAAAGGTACAAGTATTACATGTTTTTTTTATTTTTTTTGACAGGCAGAGTGGACAGTGAGAGAGAGAGATAGAGAGAAAGGTCTTCCTTTTTGCCATCGGTTCACTCTCCAATGGCCACCACGGCTGGCACGCTGCAGCCGGCGCACCGCGCTGATCCGATGGCAGGAGCCAGGTGCTTCTCTTGGTCTCCCATGGGGTGCAGGGCCCAAGGACCTGG